ATTGGAATATGTGCAGCGTACCAATTGGATGCCTCGAACGGCCGACGACGACGTCTGCAAAAGCCACAGCGCAGATATCAAATGTATTGATAAGCAGAAAACCTTGGCCAAGCCAGGCCTTTTTTTTCCAATGAAAACGGCAAAACATTGTTGGCCTGTTTGCCTGCTTGCCAGCTTGCCAGTTTGCCTGTTGTTTGTTGGCGGAGGTCGCAACGTTGCAGTGCAGTGGCAACGGCAGCCGTTGACGTGCGGTGGCCATTATGTAGCTGCTCCTTTGGGACCAGCAACAACAGCAGCAAGAAGAAGAGCTGCAACAGCAACAACAACAACAACATCTCCTCGTTCAACGATTGACGATGGTTGCTGCTCAGGTAGATAAATTCGTAATACAACTGCGGGTTGTCTGAAATGCTGGGGCAACTGCAGCATCAGCACCAACAGCAGCAGCAGCAACAGCAACAGCAGCATCAGCATCAGCTTCAAGCTTGTCCATTGTCCAGAGCCGCAGACTGAAGTCTGGACATGGCACATGTTGCAGCCAGTAGTGGCGCATTTTCGTTTTTCTTCCTATACTCTTGCAGCAAGTATCCGAATTTTATCATCAAATGTGCCATGAAATATAGAACGCTGGGCACTTTTTCAGGTCGGGCTTGGGGTTTTGGAAATATCGATCCACAAATTTGGAAAAGACGTGTTTTTAATCTTTATAAATTTAAACATATTTCAGCATATTCAATCAAAATCGCCTTAATCGAATCACTCTATATATTTTTTAATATTTAAAAATACTATATAATAAATAATACTTATCTGTTGTTGGAACAATCGGATGAAATCGGATAAACTCTTTATTTAAACAAATCTTATTCAGACTTCGACCTTCTTTATAATTAGCTTTAAATAGCTTGACCATCTATCGAAATCTGGAATTTATTGGATAATTTAACCCTTCAAGACAATACAAAAATATACTTTATTTTGGAAGCTTCACTTTCTAACTCAGACTAAATTTTCCATTTCTAAAAGCATTATTAAGTAGCGATTTATATATTCATAGAACAATATTTTTCTGGGTGTATCAACAAGAGTATTAAGTCATCGGCATTAAGAAGTTAACTGGCCCTATTTGATTTTTTATTCGGTTGTTGTTTTTGTTGTTGCTTTGGAGCATTTTGTATTGTTTTGTGTTTTGGGGCTTATCCAGCGCTTTCAACGCCTCGCGATCAACGCTTTGTGGCAGCGAAGTTTCTTTCGCTATATCTTGTTCTCTCTTTTCCTCGCCGTCTGTCTGTCTGTCAGTCCGGTGTCCACAGTTGCTGCCGCATAATTCATGTTTCACGCCGTTGCCGACTGTTGAATGCAACAGACAAATTCAAAATGGCAGCTGCTGCGCAATTATTGGGGGCCGTTCGCAGTAAAGTTTTTAATCAAGGGTTCGCATTACGGATTTGTTTTTCACCAAAATTACATGCAGCATGCAGCATGCAGCATGCCGCATGAGCGTGCAGCTTGCGATTTGTGGCATGCAAAAAATTGCTTGATACCGCCTCTGACATCGATAGTTCATTGGCATTTCGGATGGCCAGATTGCTAGTTGGCTAAGTGATAGAACACGAAACCGAGCTATGATTATAAGTCTACATTTAACAGTGTATTTTCATGTGTATGTGTGTGTGCGAGTGTGTGTGTGTGTTTGTGATTGCTGCCCGTTGGCATGTCAACTTCCGCTTTGGCCTTTTGTATTTGCTCATTACTACAAGTGTGTGCCCGACTGTGTGTATGTGTGTATGTATGTGTGTGTGTGTGTGTGTGGTTGTTTGTTTTGTGTGTAAGCGGACATTTCCGTTCTTGACATATTTGTTCAAGTCTTGAGTTTGTTGTATAAAAATCACAATAAATATTCAAAGAGCTTTTTGTAATTTTTATTTTATGCCACAGATCTTGGCCGTAATCTGGAACACTTTATGTCGAGAGGTGATTAAAAAGTAAATTCTACTTGCTGAGTGTGTTATTTTGTTACACAACTAATATTATTATTTGTTTCTCTTTAAAAAGGATTTTTGCATATTCAAATGGTTAAGAAATGATTTAAATATCGATCTGTTTTAACAATTTGAATTGGTAAAAGCTATTCCAATTTATTGCTTTGTAAAGAAAGGAACTGTAGAATAGTTGGGCCAGCTAATTATTGATGCAAGTAAAGGTAGGTATAAAATATTGTCATTCATATTCTTACTACTTTTCTTATGGCTTGTTCTTTCCACTGTTTAATATGAGTGAGCTCTGGCTTCAACTCATTCAACAATCACATTGAATGAGTGCGCAGAAAAGCGCGCAACAAACACAAATGCAAACAAACTTAAGGCTTCAAGCAATTTGCCATGTTGCACCTTGCAGCTGAAATAATAACAGCAACAACTGCTGCCTGCAGCAGAAGCGACCTTATCAGGGACAACAATTTTATGGCTGTCAAAATAAGTTGGCAGCAGACGCGGCCAAAAACAGCAGCAGCAGCAGCAGCAGCCAAGAAATTGTCAAGCGATTTGAAATCGTTGTTAGATTGGAATTTCGACCCAATTAGGAAATTTTTCGACGGCTGCTGTTGCTGCTGCTTTGGTTGTTGCTGTTACTGTTGCTGTTGCTGTTGAAAGGGCCTTTCAGCGGAAAAATGCAAAAACCTTCGCCGTTGGTCAAGGATGCGAAAAGGGACACCAAAAATACAAGCAACAATCGAGCGATACATAAAATATATTGTTATGTCTGCGGTGAGAAAACTAATTGACGATGACAGCAGTCGCTGTCGCTGTCGCAGTCGCAGTTGCAGTCGCCGTTGCCGTTGCTGTCGACGTTACAGTTGCCGTTGCTGTGGCAACAAGGAGTCAATGTTTTTGTACTCGATTTGTGGACAGCCATCGATTCGACAGAGCAAAAAGCGTGCAACGTCTCGCTGAATGTATTGTAAGTGGCCTTCGTAGATTTCTATTTGCCAGAGCTTATAAGAAAACCAAAATCGTTTAAATTTATTTATACGTTCGGATGCTGTTGCAATATAAAAGGCGCCGACAATGCAGCAACAATAACAGCAACAACAGCAACAACAACAACGGCAGCAGCAACAACAGCAGCAGCAGCAACAGCAGGAGCAATCATTTTGTGGCAGTTGCATGAAATTATTGATTTGTTATTTGTTGGATCGTTTGCCGCGCGAGCTTGTTAAAATGCTTGACTGTGCATGCGACTTTATTGCTGCTGCTATTGCTATTGGTGTTGCTGCTGATTGACCAAACTAATAATTGTATCTTAATTTTGTTTTATTAATGCCAACAGCCAACAGCCAATTGGCAATTGGCAATTTCTGTGCGGTAGTTTTAGTGAAAATGTGGCAAGTGTTTTGCCATATGGGAGCGTTGCTACGTATTTCGCGATAATAAGAACTTTTGTGGGTGGATTAGCTGATCTTTTAAATTAACTGGTAAAATGAAATTATTTATTTAATTTATTTGTTTGTGTTTAATTCCTTTATTTAATTTCTAGTGTTATAATTTTCATCTTACAAATATTATATATAAAAAGCTTTTTTTGACACTGAATTATATATATTTTTAATGATGCATAAATAGATGCTTTATTTAAATACAAATTCGAAATTGATAATAATTTGAATCTTATCACTAAATAATTTTTAAAATTAAATTTAAGTTTTGCCGCTCATATCGTTTATATCGCATTTGCAAAATGTTATCGATACTTTCGCACTTGGTATGGCACATACTGGCAACGCCAATAAATGTGTAGCACAGTGGCGCCCCTATATTTCATTTATAAATATCCAGGACATACATCTTATACTGTTAAGTTCCTGTGATATGGTTCGAAACTTTGCTCAGATTCAGCTGAGACGCATTTCTCAACTATTGTCGCTTGCCAACACTAACACAATTTGAATTTTGAGAAGCGCATTTTGAAATCACAAAGATTGAATATGTAATTTGTTTAAACTCTCGTAAATATGAGCTTAAATTGATAAATTATATTTGAGACTTGAGCCCCGATGTCCCTGTGAAATGAAAACAACTCCAGAGCAATATAAATGTTTACAGTAAGTAACGTCTTTATTGAATTGCATTTTGTGTTTGCTTGTCATTTATTGAAATCAAATCATAATCATAAATGCATAAAACTACAGCTTTATCAAACAAAGAAAAAAAAACCCTCATCGTTTAACTGTTAATCGCACAACAGCAACGGGAACTGTATTTTAAATGTTTTGTGTGATTTAGTTACAAACTTCAAACTACATTTTTGTTTTATTTTTATTTTATTGCATACATATGACTAAATTGTATGCGTATTCATTGGGCCATTAAATATTCGTTATTATTGTTTGAATTATTTGCTTGATTAACGATTTATAAACGACAGTTTTCGACTTATCAACTAGAGACAAATACAAAGGTTATCACTTGAGTATGTCTAACAAGCTACTCGTTTTCTGTTTGTTCTTAACCACTTCCTCTTGCTTTCTACCAACTAAATTCAATTGTATATATATATGTATATATGTATACTAGTATGTACTTCTCTATATGCCTTCAGATGAGTGTGTGCATGTGTGTATGTGTGTGTATATAGGTATATATATGCTTCAGTTTGTATGTATATGTTATGAGCTACAACTAGAGTCGGTTGAGAAATTCAACGATTTGGCAAAACAGTTGCGAACTACCTTTGCACATATATAGACACGCTATATATGCAGGAATTCGATCTGGGGGGGACTCGGGGTGCGGTTTGCATACTTTCCCTAGAAACTTGAGTACTTAGCACATATCTAATACAGTGTTCGCTCGAAAATAGCAACTTTCAGTAAGTTAAATTATTCAGATATTCAAAAGTATCACTTAATTATTAAATTGGAAATTATACAACAATCAATGATTTGATTAACAGAGTATAACGTTCAGAAAATAAAATCTATAGTTTTTGTTTTTTTGTACTTTAAGAGCTATTCAATTTTGAATTTTGGGTAAACAATTGAAAAATGTTGAGAAAACGTTTCTAAATTCTAGCAATCACTGCATATAATACATGGATATTGTGTTGTATGTACGTGTATATAAATAGTTGTAATACTACAAATCTAATGTTTAAAACTATAAGTTTGCTAAGCCACAAATAACTATAAGCTACACAGTAATATCTGACTTATCCCTAAATAGTAGGTAGTATCAAAAATGCATGGCACCCATGGGGAACAGAGTTCGTTGAGCAGACGTTCAAGTTTCGCATGCTTGAACACAACACACTACACACATTTATATGTAATGCATTTATGTGGTGAATTTAACTTAGTGTCTTATATTATAACTAGTACAGACTATGACTACGCCTATTGCCTTAAGCCTAGACTTTGATTTCAATATTTTCATTTCGTTTCATTTCGATTTCGATTTCGATTCGATTTTGTTTTCAATTTCCAATTCTTGGGTGCACTTGCTCCACACTCTGCACTTTTAATACATTTTTCAAATAAAAGGCAACTCATGAACAGTTTTGTTTTTGTTTTCTTGTTTTTAACAACTCCCCTCGCCTAAATCCAGAGTGGCCCAATCGTGTCCACAATGATGTCCAGCACATCCTGGCGCCCCATCTCCTTAAGGGTGAGCAGCAGTGCCATAATACTATTCGCATGCGATATGGAAGTGGAGGAGCTGCTGCTGCTGCTGCCACTGTTGGCGCGACACTCCCACAGATTGAGTATCTGCTCGGTGGGTGATGGCTTTGTGGCAAAGTAGGCAATATACCGATCGGTGCTCAGTTTCTTCGCCAGCAGTCGCCAGTCGCGTTCGTCGGCACGCGGCGGATCTAGAGCGGCGCAAATTAAACGCTTTGTGGCATGTGGCAGCTGCACAAAGTCAAGCACACAACTCTCGTTCACATAGTTGCCCTGGCGATCTATCGATATCGTTGTGTTTGTGGTCGACACCAGCTCCTCATCCTCCTCCAGATGCAGTTGCTGCTGCTGCTGTCCCGGCAAGCTGAACGTATAACAATCCAGCTCATTGTCCTGGCCAAAGTCGACGCAGAGCGCATGCTGCTCCTGCCGCCGCACACTGAACTCACAGTGCAGTATGGAATTGTTGCCCAGTATGTGCTGATAGGGTATTGCATGTTCGTACAGCGTCGCCTCGGCATCCGTGCAGCTGCGCACCCTTATGTTCAAGTTGAGACTGTTGAGCACAAAGCCGAAGACCTGACTCTCGCCGAGATAGCTGCCGCCCAGTTTGCACTCGACGTTGGCACACAAATCGCGACTGTTGGGAAAATCTTTGACCACATAGATGCGCAGGCTGCAGTTGGCGCTGCTCGGCGGCGTATGCTGGCTGAATGCCAGTAACTTCATCTTAATCGCGGGCTGCTGAATGCGTGGCTCGGCGACGACTGCAAAGTGTCCCAGCTGCTCCGTCATGATGTAAACGTGCGTCGGCTCCAGCTGCACAAACATGGGCGTATTGATGGTCTCCTCGCCCACGGAGACGGCACGGCGCCAGCTCACATTGAGCTCATCGTGCTCGCTGTCCGCGTGATAGATGTGCACATGCCACTGCTCCGGCGACAGCAGGCAATGGGGTATCTTCAGTATCACTGGCTTAACGAAGCCATAGTTTCGTGGTGCACAATGCACCACACTGCTGCACAATATGGAGCTCTCCGTGGCGCAGGCAATGCGACTGCACTCGTCGCTCAGCAGCATCAGAGAGACGTGCTTCTTCAGATGCTTCCCAATCGCCAGCTCCGGCACAAAGAGCAACAGCTCACCGTTATACAAACGCAACTGGCCGCCACTGCTGCCCAGCAGCTCATAACTGGTGCTCTTCGAGGCGTTCAGCAAAGAGAGTTTGGCATTCATATCAAACGTTGAATTTGCTGTGTCATAAAAAAGGGTCAATTTGAGAATTAAATACTTTTGATTTCAGCAGTTACTTACAGGTATCGGCTGTGGAGGAATCGCCAGTCTCTGATAGATAATCTGCGCTCAAATCGTCTATGGGATTTGTGTAGCTGCAAAGGAGGGAACTGGTTAGTTGAGTAAGAAATGAACTCTTCTTCAAGCTATCTTAAATTATACATAATCGATCTTAGCTTAGCTTATAATATTTTTAACATTAGTAAGTTGAAGGATCTGATTACTACAACCTTTGCCATTTATCTGTCCAATAGTCAAAATCTTTGTTTATTCTTTTAAAATCGATTAAACCATTTCATAAATATTATAAATGATATCTTTCGCTAAGCTGCTTATAAAATACATTTTATTCTAAAGTCAGATAAAATATAAAAAAATTAAATAAATGTCTACGGTTTTTCTATAATCTTTTCTGAAGAATTCTTAATGCCTTGCCAGTGACCATTTGCTCCATGATCGGACATCTCCCACAGTAAACCCTTGGTTTAAATATGCATATCTTAATATCAGTGCTGTTATTCAAATACATATAATAATCTACTTTGACCACAGAATGCCCACTCATGAATATTATTGGGCGAAATACTTGTGGATGGCATTAAGTACACCCATGCATATATTGAAAAATTCAATGAAATAAATAATATATTTGATATAAACTGCAAGAAGCAGAATTCAATACAAGCCCAACCAATAAACAGTTGCAGCAATAATCCGCTTTGCGAGATTAATGTACGAAATACGAGATTTGGTGAGTTTTCCACTTACTTTGCCGCCAGGTTGGGCACATCGTAGTGATGTTCCGTAACGCCGCCACAGCCGACGCCGACGCCGATGCCGACGATGTGGTCGCCGGGCATGTAACGATGTCCGGGATTGACATAATCGTATCCCAAATTGGCAGCCTCGATGTGCATGCGCATCTCCTTCTTGTCGACAACGCCGGGCATATAATCCGCATCCATAACTGCAAATGGCGGAAGGAAGTGCAAGCACAGATTCAATTGCCGTGAGCCGGACTAGCAAAAGTAGCAGCCGTTGTCGAGGACGACTTACCTGAACGGGCCATGTTGTAGTGGGGATTGGCGCGTATGCCACGTCGGGCACAGCAGATGAGAACAGCGCCGAAGGCAAAGCAAACGGCTGTGAGAAAGGCCAGTCCCAAGTACAGTGTCCAATCGAAGTCTGTGAATGGTGCAAGAAAAAAACGGTTATTGGTTGGTTGGGGGGGATCAAAAGAAGGATAAGTAAAACTGCTGATTTTTTGCTTTTTAATATACACTTTTGGTGCGATGACTCCCCTCCGTCAAGCGATTCAAGCGAATGCTGGCGACTGCCAATCTCAATCTTTGTCTTTTGTATTAAAATGAAAGGCAAGTTCCTACATGTTTCTGCGTAAATCCGCAAACTCCACCCACCCACACACACACACAGAGAGACACACATACGCCAGAGTTGAGTCAACCAAAACCGAACGCGGTCGCATCCTCCTCACATTCTCGCTTCCCAAAAAGTTGCCATCAATCCAAAGCAGCCATGCGTATCCGTATCTACTGCTGCCTGCTGCCTGCTGCCTCTCTGCGGCTGCAGTAGTATATGTCTGTATTTAATGTTTTATGTTTGTATGCTCACTGCTCCGACCCCAGTCCCCAATACCCTGTTTGTTTCCCAGTCCGGCGTCTATTTCGCATTATTGTGCGCTGTCGGGTGCCCGCACATCCCCCCTCCCCGGTTATTCACTGCTCCCCTCCCCCATCACCCTTCGCCTTTCAATCCGAAGCTCAGCGCCATTGTTGCGCTGCTTGTTTCCGTTGCTGTGATTGTTGTCGTCATTGTTGGTGGCGCTGGCGGTGACTGGTTGGCGCTGTGCCGGGCAAAAAAGGAATCGCTGCAGCGCAAGGAATTACTCTGTGTATATGTATATATTATGATTATTACACACACACACACACTTATACAGGGAGCGAGAGAGAGAGAGAGGGAGACATACAGCGAACGCATTGCACAATGTATGAAATGAGCAATTATATTCGCTGTAAATCAGCGACAGCGCTGCTCCAACATCGGAAGCATCCTTCGCTGTGGCTACCCCTCCTCCGCCTCCTGCTTCTCATCCTCATCCCTCGTCGTTCCTCAACCAAACTTTAGACTTTTTCTTGCGCTTTCGTTTTCCATTCGGCTTTTTATTTTTTTCCTATTCATATTTTTTATACTTTTGCTATGTGCATTTTGCATGCTGATTTTTTAGACTCCTGCCTGGGACATCAAAAGCGTATTTGTCATGCTAAGAGATTAGATGGGGGGTGGTGATGGGGGTATTTTCAGTACTTTCAGCCGCCCGTCGCCACAATGGCCACATAATAAAGCCTCCGGATTCAACATCAACTGTTGCAGTACCCCCAGGGATATTAGCCCTGGGGCAGCTGGAGCTCAGTGCCACAGCAAATGTAATAAAATGGAAAATAAGCCAAAGGCTCAAGTCAAAACCAACAAAGTGTCACTCTTCATTCATTGCAGAAAACTTTTCAACAGCAATCAAATAACAGTAGCTGAGTAACAACAGCAACAACAACAATAGCAGCAATAACAGCAGCAAAAAAGAAGTCCGAAAATGTAACAAAAATTATGTGTTGAATGATTGAGGAACTTGCCCACTGCTGATCCTTTCAATTACACACTGTGACAGTCATATAATTGATCCCAATGGACCACAGTGGCTACTTCTCCCCCCTCCACCAACAATCCGAAACTATATTTGAGTTGGGTTCAAATCGCAAATCGCACACGCTTCCCAATCGAACCCCAAACATCAACGACAAAGCCACGTAAAAACCTGCAAAGTGGTTGGCTTGGGTTCGATTGGAGTTCGTGGAAGGGGACTCTACTGTTGAATGATATTATCCTGTCGTCGTCTTTGCCTGCATGCCTAATTATCTGGCAAAGAACATAAACATAGGGCGCCATTCTTAAAACCCCAACGCATTTGGGATGCGATTGATTTGCGACCCTTTTCCTCGCAAATGGTTAACGCTGTGGGATTTGTATTGCAAACAAGTGCAGATGAAATGGAGTGGCCTTTTCTAGTGCTGGGTGGTTGATTTATTTTACCATTTTATTCTATAAGTGGGATGTGGGGGGAGGGGGGAGGAGAGGGGCAGTGGGTTGGGACATGCACAAACAAAATGCACTTGGTTAATTTCCCATTGTGACAATCAGCGTTGAGTGCTCTGCTTTTGTGTGGTGGCCTGTTCTCTACTCTGGCCTGTGTCTGGATTGTGTCTGTTGTGCCCACTGTGATTGTTATTGTTGTCTAACTGTCTACTTTGTTGCCGACTGTCAGAACGACTGAATGACTGGCTGACTGGCTCACTTGCTTGGCTGCCTGACTGCCTGGCTGCCTGTTTTTGTCATAAGCACACTTACCATCCTTGCCAATCTGGCATTGCTCTCCACGGCATTCGGCCGTTTGTATATCTTTTCCGGCACACAATGATTTGCCATATCCTGAGCCGTCAGAGTCACCGTTGTTGTTATTGTTGCTGCTAGTAATGCTGCCGGCGCCATCGTTGCCTCCAATGCTGCTGAGTGCCGCGGCGCCACCCACACCGCCCGGCAGCAGCTCGCCGGCTTCATCTGCCACGTCGGCAACAGAGGCGTGCGTCAGGCATTTTCTGCGACGCACTTGTATGCATTCCGCGGAACAGATGCTCCATTCGCTCCAAGCCGACCAGCGAGCAACTATGCGACGAGTGTGTGAAAGAAAGGGAAGCAGTTTAGAAATCAAAAGTCATATTAACATGATTTAGCACACATTCCCGACAGCCCCATGCCCAAGTGCCATTTATCAAAAAAAAAAGGCGCCGAACGTGGGATACGGATACGGATACAGATACAGATCCATAGAGGATATGCGAGTACGCAGCAACCATAGATGGATGGTGCATGTATCTGATAGGGGATTTGGCTCTTGATGGGCTCCCATTACATTTTATAGCAATGCCTTGGCTAATAGATGCGTCGCAATTATGCCACCTTTTGAACTAAATGCAGCGATAGAATTTATGAGCCAGCCCAGCGCCCAGTTCTCCACTTTAAATGCTCCGCCAACCCAGGGGAGCAGTTGAAAAATGTTCTCAGCATATTTAATAGCAGATACACTAAGTCACCCAATCCCCTTACTCCACACCACTCTTGCACTCCCTGCCCCTGCCTGGCATTTGCAGTGTCTCACATTTTGTGTGTGAGTAAAAGTGATTGTCATTTTAATGCTTTTCTATTTTCGCATTTGCTCCGTTTATTTCAATTTTTTTCCTTAGACCCGCTTTTGTTTGTTGGGGAGCGCAAAAGTCCGAAAACTAAACAAAAAGCGCAAAATGTGAGTATTGTAGTCGTCGTTGTAGTAAGATGTATGCCTATGCCAAACTTATATATACATATATATATATATTTATACATATATCGGCATTCGCCACTTCCTGTGCCCGAAAAACCACCCTCGTCAAAGACGACAACAACGACAACAACTGCGAAGTTGTCGTCCCCATCATCACTTTGCCTAGGCAAGCATTTAGTTATGTGTGTGGGTGTGTGTGTGTGTGAGTGTGTAATTGTGTGTGTGTGTGTGTGTTACACCCACTCCAGCAAACGCATCCTGCTGCTTCCTGCTGTTGCCTGCTTCAAGGGTCGACGCCAGACTGTTGCATGAATCAGACAGCGTAAATCGTGGTAAGTGATTTTTAAGTTGCTGTCCAACGTTCAGCGTCAACAATGACGTCACTATTTTTGGGGGTACAAAACCAAAGTAAGTCACTCAGTTAGCCCCAGCAACAAATCAGCAACAGATACAGCTTTACTGCCTTTGCAGCTTGTAAAATGAATGAATGAGTGAATGAATGACTCTCTCCACGGTTCGTTGGCGTTTTGTATACGGATATGGATGATGATGCTGATGCTGATGCCGATGCTAAAGCTGTTACGGCCTTCGGCTCAGTTTAACACAATTGTTTATTGAATTGTAAAGCGCAACCCCCTCCACAAACTTCCGTACCCCAATTCACAACTAACAATTTTGCCTGGCTTGGCCCGTTAAGCATTCAACTTTAACGGCTCTCGCAGACAATGTCATATTGAACGGTGCGAAGCCGGCCCAACCCACCCCCTCCTCTATATACTATACCCCACTGGGCAGCCCTTTTGCTGAATGAGATGCACATTGTCAGGCTTTCGTGTTCAACTTACTGCGCTTACTCGACGAAATGTCAAATCCATCAGCGCTCACAATTTGAGTGTCCTCTGTTGTTGTTGTTGTCGTTGTCAGCGTCAGCGTAATCACAGGCGTTGGCAGGCGTCGTGGGCGTGGCAACCAAACGGTAAGCAGCAGCAGCAGATGAAGCGCCATAAGGTTGACACGATTCCATGGGGATGAAAAAGTCAGAAGTTGAAGAAGATGGAACCGACAAAAAAAAAAGAGAAGCAGAAAAAACGAAACCGAAGCGAAATTTAAAATTAATTTTATGACACACTTTTCATAGAAAAAGACCACCAATCCCCCAACCACCACCCACTTGAAGTGTATTGCTATTGCTTCTTCAACAGCAGCAGCATCAGCAGCAGCAGCAGCAGCCAGCCCAACCCCCTTGCCACCTCCATTGTACTGCGCTCCATTTGCCCCGCTTGTCTGTCAACAATTGCTCATTGCTGTGCCCGCTGCGAGCCTGCCAGAGCATATCTGCCTGTGACTGTGCGTGTGTGCGTGTGTGTGTGTGTGTGAGCACTACAATACAATGTGCAATACAATAAATTTACATGAATAAAAGTGAAGAGTCTCAAACACATGCCGCCCGTGCGTCTGTCACAAAAAAAAAAATAATAATAATAATACGAGAAGAGAAGAGAACGCCGCCCCCAACTCGCTTGCTCTTGCATCCCGAAAAACCCAAACCGAATCCCGTTGTGCAACATACCACGCACCCCACCACTGCCCCACCCAACGGCAATGCTTGTGCCCTTACCATGCGCCCCGTCAATGCCTTTGTCACCATTTAGTCAGTCAGTGCTTGTGACTGTGACTGTGACTGGTATGCCGCCAGCAGCCGCCCCCGGGTACGTCCACGTCCACGTCCAATCTATCCATCTATTTAGGTGTATGTACGGATACTTATATCTGTGCATGTGGAGATATCTGTCGTCATTTGAAAAGGCAGCACCAGCAGCAGCTACTCCGTGCCACAGCAGCAGCCGCAGTCGAATGCGTGTTTAAAATGAAATACTCAGCGCTCACTCAAAAATTTATTGGACTATAGTCCTAGAATGGGTATTACGACTAGAGTATCGGCTTTGACAATGCTATTTTGTATTTTATAGCACTGGCTACGTATCATTTGTATGCAACTTTTATACTTTGATCTTGATGTGACCTTTCGCTTAAGAAATACCCAACAACTTTCGTTACAAATTCCCGTACATTTTCTCAAGCAAATCGATTACAAGAACTTTAAAAATAATTTTCAAATTAATACAATCCTTTTCCGGTTTCTCGCCTAATCTTTTATGTTAATCGATATCAGATACTTAACAAAGAAAATCTTGTATTCCCCTAAATACTATGCCCATCATTTGAATATCCCTCGAATTTAATGTCCTACATCCCAAATCTCAGCTAAGAAATATCAATCTTTTTTTTTATTGGTTTCTAAGCAAAGGAAAGTGTATTTAATGCTCATCTTGTGGACTTGTCACTTTTCCAACTTTTGTTGTTTCTTTTTTTGGAACGCCCCTTGAACTTTTGCGTGGCAGTGCTTTGTGTTAAACTCCCTGCTTGCTGCTTGCTGCTTGCTGGCTCTGCCTTCCCTCGTTGCCTGGTGTGAAAAATGTGCGTCGTTGGCGACGAAACAGGGAACGTTCGTTATTTGAGGTGGATTGCTGAAGGGGAGTCAAAGAGACGCAGGTGGCAGTGGGGCCACAGGCTGTGCAGATGCCATTTAAATTGACAATTTTGTTGTTGGCACTTCAATTACGGTAACACTTTAAAAGTTTACTAAAAGTTTACGCCCAAAACACCGACGATGACGCCCACAAATTTGTGGGTAACCAGAGGAAACGCTTTGCATACCTGGACATGCGGCACAGTCGGCGGACTTCTGTATCTGGGGGCCCGCACATTGGCCACCTCCGTTCAAGGGCATTGGATTGGTGCAGGTGCGCGTTCGCTTGCGGCCCTGACTCGGTTTCCCACTGCACTTGCACTCGCGCCATGGGCTCCAGGCGCTCCAGCCCCCATTAACTGTTGGTTGGAAAGAGAAAGTGGATAAATACGCATACATTCATTACATATGTGTGCAGACCGCAAAATACTGACCATAGACAATGAGCACGGCCGAATCGGAGACGCGCTTGCCGGCAATATTCTCGGCGCTGCAGCTGTAGTTGGCCATGTGTTGCAGTGCCACCTGGCGGAAGGTGAGACTGCTGCCGGCCACATTGATGGCCGGCTCACTGTCGGCGCTTATGACCACATTGTTCTTATGCCAGCTGAGCTTCGGTTCCGGAAAGCCGCCAGGCGGCTCGCAATGCAGTTCCGCACGGCTGCCCAGCTCGAGGCGCAGCGATGTGGGCGACTGACCAAAAGACTTGCGAATATCTACGGAGGGAAGCGTACACAGAAACCAAAAATTGTTATTTCAGTTAAGGCAATTACAATTTTTTCAGTTCATTTAAAAAAAGTATAAAAATATCATGAAAATCTTTAATCTGTGTTCGACAGATACGCAAGGAAAATCAATCAAAAAGTGTTCAGGTAAAAATCTACTCAATTTTTTAACGAAATCTGGTCTTTGTGTGTTGAACACTCGACATTTGATTAAATAAGAAATCGAATAATGTACGTAACCAACCATAAATAGATTCTGTAATGTTATGGCTTAAAAGTGATGTAAGTCAAGGGTATCGAAATTTAATTTACAAGCATGTAAAGCACGTATGAATATTTAAATTTACCATATAATTTTGACAACAAACATTTCAACAAAGTTAAAATTATATAGTAATTGTTTACAGTGAAGGGTTATGGGTAGGGGTTGGGGGTTAGGGGTTAGTTTTAGCACATGTCGCAGCTGTTGCAAACTGAGGTAGAAGAAGTGTACCCCTACTTTGCTATACTCACATGCAATATGCACCGTGGCCGCTTGACTCTTGACAACACCACGCGACGACCAGGCCTGGCACTCGCACTTGAATGGACCCTTGCCAAAGTATTCGTCGACAAGATCGCGATGTATGGTGGCAGTCACCTCCTCCATGTGGACGCCCGTGTGCGGATCCACGTGCTTGTCGTGCGTCGACGGCGGCGGCTGGGAACTGCCACTGCATTTAAAGTGCAGCTGGAGCGCATGCGACGCCTTACACTTGAGCACCGCCGGTCGATTTTTGACCACAAACACGCTCTCTGGCTCGCTGAGGAATATTGGCAGCGTGTTGCTGGCCTCTGCTGGCGTCAGTTTGCCACCGTTGAACTCCTCCAGCAGGGTGCCCGCCGCAGAGCCGCCCAAAACTGAAACTGTTGCGCCTGCTGCTGCTGCTGCTGCTAAGATTTTGCTATCCTCGTTGCTGTTGAGCGTTGATTCGATGTTGATTCTGTGCGGTGATGTTTCCTCGGTAACCGGCGTATCGATGATGTCCACATCCTCAACGGAGGCGGACATGCTGCCATAATCGCTGCTCAGCGATAGCTCCCGGCAGCCGACTAATGTAAGCCATATTAGCTGTAGGCTGACTAAAACTACAATCACATTTCCGGCTTTATTAAACAGCAAACACAATGACGACGTCATGCTTCCACTCCACTCTCCACTTCCACTCCTCTCCTCGCCGGCTCTTCGTTCGTTGCTCTTGTCTTGGCTCGTCGTTAATAATTCGTTGTCAGTTTTTATCAGTGAAATGCACGTCGCTGTTCTTCTTGTTGTTGTTACTAATTTTGTTGGTGTTTTTGGTGTTGTTGCTGTTGCTGTTGCTGTCTTGTCCTGCGTGCAGCGTTTCCTGTACGCCAACAAGTGCACCTGCTGCTGCCTATTTTGTTGTTGTTGCTGCTGCAGTGGTATGCTACTAGCAATAGTTGCAGTTGGATTACGTTGATGTCGCCACAGCGATCTGGAAAGTCAGATAAGAAATACATTTAAATGGCTTTTGCTCGTACTTCACTTGCATTCCATACTCATATGTCAGATCGCCCAACTAACTACAAGTGTATGCAATTTGCCCACTTGACAATCATCAAATACCGCAGCAGTTTGTCAAAGCCACTGAAAGTGTCCATGAATGGACTTAAGTGTTCATATCTTCAATGCAATGCACACTCGCACACACACACACACATATATATATATATATATATATAAGAGCACGTACAGCAGCGCATTAATAATCATTATGCCTAGGGTTTAATTTGTTACAGTCAATTCGACTGGCTAATCACCTACAAGTGAGACAGGAAACTGTAGAAGCGGAAATTGTGATTTATGATATTGGTAATATGAATTGACATCTCTTAGAATGAATTTATTTCCTATTATATTATATCGGCAGACATCCTTAGCCTTCCAGTTATAATATTTAATACTGTAAGAACACTTGAGCTTAACGCATTGACAGGTAAAAATTAAGATTGGGGTTTTCCCTCAAAGTTCAGGCAACAATAAGTACTTTTTTAAAGAATGTATAACCACTTTGAATATTTAAACAGCACTGCTTCAAAATTCAAATATTAAGTAATGTGGAGCAACATAAATATAAATATCATGTTACATAATAAAAATAAATATCATCCTTCCCCTTGCCTACTTATTATGATATTACACTTCAATAAACCTGCGTTCAACGAGTGCCTGTACATCCTGCAACTGCTGCATCGATTTCCTATTGATGAAGTCAAGTTTGTCATCATCAATCAGCCTTTAGTGTATGGTAAGCGATATGCCCCATGTCTAAAGCCAAGGTGTATGGACAGTCAACGCACCACTCTACACAGACACACACAACCACAACCACACACACACACACACATTGAGGGAGACAATTGTCCGCAAGTAACGAAAATTGTCGTATTTGTTATGCAAGTCATGTGTCAAGTTCTACGAATCGCTGGTACCAAATCGAAATATTAATAACAGCTATGTATACATATGCTTATAGCCATGCCCAATGACTGCTCCGATAGATAGGCAGGCCGCAAGGCAGCCAGCAAGACCCATTCAGGACGTGCTGTGTGGGAACGCAGCCTTTTGTCTTTTGTCTTCTGTGAAATGTTATTATGTACTAGTTGTTCAGTAGTTGGCCATAGCATTAAAATACCTCAAAGTCCCCCAACACAGCAGTCTTGCAAGCCTATCAGGCACGCCAGCTTGTTGGAGTTTATGTGTTTGCCTTTGTAATTATGTATTAATCATGCATAAGTTTAAACCTCAACCCACTCCATAGTCGAAGCGACTTTATTTCCCCTTTTTTTATTTCTTTCGTTATTTTCTTCTTTTTTTTTAATGACTACAAAGCGATGCGCTGTGCATATAGTAAAAGTCGATATGTAAATGTTGCGGAAATGCAGCCTGATGTGAAATGTGATTATGATTAGAGGCCAAAAGGCATTCGTGGGACACGCGCAGCGCACAGTAGTCATAAAATATCGGGTAATAAGAAATTAAATGCATTTAATACATATTGATAGGCGTCTCCCAACTGCCTTTTTAGCGTCATTTTCCTCTGGCTCGTCATCATCGTCACGAGCGTCATTTCTTTTGGTTTAAGCGCCCTTTATGCGTAATTCAATTGGATTTACAGGGTGCTTGTGGACACTTGAGTGTCTGTCAATATTCTCGGCAGTTTCTCTGTATTTCAGTGTGTGTGTGTGTGTGTGTGTATCTCATATAGCAGACCACATTATAATAGTATTCCCTATGGCACTCTCATACAGACACACACTTTTGTTGTTTGTGTGCATTCAATTATAGCCGAAAATTGAAGTTGGTTTTGTTTTCGATTTGGCTAGACTCATGTTTGATGAGAGCCAAATCCCCGCCATAGATATATGTACATATACTATACGATATTTGCTAGGCTGCTTAACAAAATTAGATTTTTGCCGTACAGAAATCGATACGTAAACAAAAAGCAAATCTGTGCACTTCATACAAGCGTTACAGATTATTACTTATCTGCCGGTAATGATTGATGGAAACTCAAGTGAATTGTGCAAATGTGGCAAAAGTTATTATTGCAACTTCCTGAAGCAAATTTGCGGGTAAATTTACGAGCATAATTATCTGGCATCAGTGGCCATTAAAATTGTCGGCAACCTGCATGCTGCTAAAGATTAATCAAAATGTGCCACATGAAATCGTTAAATTTCAGAATCACAGCTCCACCGCTCCAACATACGCACACACACACACACACACACACACACACACACACACACTCACACACTGAGAATGTCATCGCCTTATCAGCCAGACATTTGATGTACTCTGCTGGAATGCTGCATGTTTGCACATTTTAATACCCTGTAATTTTTGTAAACGACTGAGAAGGTTGGCATTCAATTGGAAAAAAATATGTAACAGCCAGCAGCAGATATATATAATTATTCCAAAATATTCTCATTAAAAATGAACTATCGGATCAGTCAAGCCTGGCATCTAGCTACGAATACTAAAGTTCAACTGCAGATTAATGTATTCCATATTTGACAACAAGTTCATTTCACACGGCTTAAAACTCTGCCTCTGCTGAAGCACGTTGGATCTGAATACGGGATATTTTAGAATCAATCACTCGCATCGACAGCATTTCCACTTGTTTAAATAGATTTTTAATGAAGTGAAGTAGGCCAAATGGATTGTGTACATCGCTTATCAGCGGCATTTCATTGTGTGCACTTTATAATCGAATGGATTTTATTTATTGGAACCGCAAAGACATAAAAGAAAAGGAGAAAAAAGAGAAAACAGAACCAAAGCAATAAGCGAACTTTGCATTGATTTTGGCACGCAAGCGAAAGAGGGGCCATCAGAGAGACAGACAGCCAGACAGACAGATTGACTAAGTGACTGACTGGCTGACTGACTGGCTGACTGACAGACAGGCGCTTTAGATTTATTGCCAGATACGAGAGATTGCGTGTGCATATAATCATCTTATATGAATGTGCCACATGTATGTAGTGCGAGGGGGAAGGGGGAGAGAATTGTGCAGCAGCAGTTCCGCCTGATCTTTTGATGATTTCCCAACTTTTTGGCGGAGGAGTAAGTCGTAAGTCGCAAGTCGTAAGTTGCAAGCATTTTGCTGCGGCACTTGCTGCCGTCATGCTTCAATGAATGAAAGATTGCGTGGGATAATCGGCGTCGAATTCAATTTAATTTCACAACTATTGCGGCTGCCACGAAGCCCTTCCTGACTGCGTGTGTGTGTGCGTGTTTGTGTGTGTGTGTGTGTGTGTGCCACAATAAAAAGAACTTTTCAAACTTCCCCCATCCATAATGAATGGTAGGGACTAAGGGGCCACGACACAGGGAGGGTCGCAGCGGCAGACAATGCGCGTAGTACAAGGCAGAAAACAAGTGAGCATTCTATAAAATAATTGATGACTGACTGACTCAGTCGTTGAGTCTTGCGTTGCCAGCAATAATTTTTATGCCTCTGGAGCACTCGAAATACACACACGCACACTCATACACACTCGCACACACTCGCACACACTACACTAAAATCAAATGCCACTCGAAATGCGCGACTTGCCTGAAGATGGAAGCAGCTAGCTGGTAGCTGAAAGCTGAAAGCTGAAGTGTATCTGGCAGATGCTGCTGCTTCAATTGCGTGTGACTTTTGTGTGCTCTCTCTGTATGTGTGAGTGAGTGAGTCTGAGTATGTGTGTGAGTGTTGTGTGTGTGTGTATTGAAGTATGTGTAGTTATGTTGTACAATCTCTGAACATCTGTAGCACAAATGAAATCTTCAGAACTCAAGGGACTGTGCTGCTTCTACTGCTTCTGCTCCATCACTGTGCTGGTTACTGTGGCAATCGCTGCCGCATGTGGATTTCACATGTTGCGCATTTTGCCCACACACACATACAGCACATACACCATACACCATACACCATAACACAACACATACACATATTGTGCACTGCTGAGCTTCTCTATGTATTATAAAGCCGAGCTATTGTGAGCTCGTTCTGCGCTTGCCTTTTAATTTCCTTCTTCTTCATGTTTTTTTTTTGGTCTTGTAATCAAACAATTAAAGATGATTTTAATTAATCTATTTATAAGCGGAGACGTGCACGTTTCGGCTGGCAAAACCCTCCCCAACAGTTGTCGCAACGCCTTCATAACTGCTCAAAAATTTATTTGACTCATGGATGGAGGGGGTTGGCTCTCGGGAGGCGGAGGTGGACGTGGAGGTGGAGGACTCGAAAACTCGAGCATTCGCTGCGTGAAGAGATAGAGGCATTAGACATGACGACAACAACAGCAAACATCTTTAAATTAATTAAGCGTAATTGTTGTTGAATTAGAAACAAAAGTTTCAGCCATGAATTATGGACCCCGTATCTGAGAGACACACATTTAGATACATATGTAGTTACATGTTATTGCAGATAAAACACAATAGATTAGATGGCGGCAAGGCTGTCTCCGCCGGCCATATGCATGCAATAAGCAAATTATTTATTATGCCACATCAGTTAAATAAGTGGCACAAACTCAGCAAGCCGAACAAATGAACAGCTGAACAGCAACTCAACAACCGAACAACTCAGCAACTCAGCAACTGCACAACTGACGACTCTTATCATTTGTATCTCATTAGAAAAGTTTCAATCTAGCTCAAAGTTGCTGCTACTTCTGCCGATGCTGACCAGCAGGCATTTTAACATTAGTTGTTGTGGTTTGGGGTGTGCTTGGAGTGTTGGTCGAGGAGGAGGAGGAGGAGGAGGAGAAGGAGAGTGAGGAGGAGAGCGAAACTTATTTGCCACACACTTGGGCCACAGCTAATTTATGATGCCCAACGACAAACAAATCGATGGCAACCAACTGATGACGATTTCACTTAAGGCCAAGCCACATATTTTGGCTTTAGCTTTACACTACGCTACAACTAATTGAGACGTAAGCAGAAAAAATTCAGAAATCTATTGGAAATATGATCCAGATTGACTACGGTTAGAAATATTATCCAGATTACAAAAAGAATAAGTAATTATAAATATAATGATGCATAAGCCAAAAAATATTATGTTTAAGTCTAAAGAGTTAAGTTAAAAGTTATTTTCAGCAAATTGAAATTGAGTAAAACAGTCCTTTTTGGTCATTGACTAGTATTATACATGACATCAATAATACAAGATCCTAATTTAGAGAAAGGGAAACAAGCATCTCAACTGGACTGCTACCAATGTGCAAAAGTGTAGAAAAACCTAAAGTATAACAGTGTGAGTCGATACTTTAGCAATAAATTTCAAACAAAAATTGGGTCAATATTTCCCAAATAAAAATAACCGGAAAATAGATTTAGACTTACTAAAACAGGAATTTCAAGCATGCAATTAAAACGAAAGGGAAAAATAGATGAATGTATAAACTCAAAAACAAATTTAAACTTGAATTCAGAAGAAATACATTTTTATGAAACCACGTTGGGATCTTTTCTGTTCTCAATTAGAATTCTAACGAGGTATATTGTCGGCATTCTATATTGCTCTATCTTCAGTATTTAAACTCGTAGAGATAGTATTTCCGCATTAAGTGGTTTTTTTTTTCACCGTGTAACTCAAAAAGATAACTTTCTACCCTTAATACGCTTAACTTTAGATAATGCTTAGGTACCTCAACAAATTTATCAACGTTGCATGCTAATGCCCTTTGTATGATTGTTATACCAGATACATTTTGTGTAGCCGGACACAGAGCCGTAAGCGAAGCCAACAATTTATGGTAGGTTTTTTCGTTTTCATTCATTCTGTGGGCTATCAGCTACCTACTTTCGGCTTTCAACGAGACAAAAGCAAGTTACCGTCTCGCATCTATTTCTCTGTGTCGATCTGCTGTTATTCGTATCAATGATCGACATCTAATCCAATGTTAAGTCGTAGCCCATGAACCCGAATGCCCAAATGCCCAAATGCCCCTGCACTCTTGTTGTAGGTAGCAGCTCTCCCGAAAGAGAGATGGCTTCGTTTGTGTCTTAAATTCGTCGGCTTCGGATGTAACATGCATTCTTGTTCTTGTGTTCTTTTGGGGCTGTGCTCGAATGACAATTAATCACCGCAGGAGTCAAAGATGTTCGATGGTTCATGTTCGCTCCCATTGCCGTTCCCTATCCTGTAGTTGACTACCACGGCGACGACGACGACAATGTTCCCATGCCAATAGACGCTGGCTTGTCCTTAAACCAAACCCTTGTTTGCCAAGCTAGAAACACAGCGCCGTTGAACAACAGCTGTAAACTGTAGGTCGCTCAAATTGAACAGGAATACAACCCCTAAAATTATGACTAGCTGCCTGCTCCTCGAGTATCATATGCGTTACGTGTGTGTATCGAGTTGTGCGAGTGTGTTTGAGTGTGTGACCGTGTGACTTGGAAAGGGTAACAGCTCGCGTAAATTGTTAAAAAAGCCAAATACCAAATATTAAAGTGTGAGTCGCGTTCAAATCATTACGATTGCATTTGTCAAGGCCTGAGAATTATTTTGAATGTCGCTGCTGGTTTTGTCACACTGCCTGTCTGTCTGACTGTCTGTCAGTCTGTCAGGCTGTCTGCCAGTCAGTCAGTCGGACAGCCAGCCAGTTTTGAAAGGGCATCATTATATGCCAATTGGCGATTGTTTGTTACCCACTCGTTAGCGACTCGTTACATACGAGGGCGGCCATATTAGTACCCGCTTTTCAGCTCAATATCCCAGGATATTACCCAATTGCAATTACTCAAAATTGGTTCAACAATTGCTGAGGGATTTCAAACTTGATTTGATTTGAGATATCTTTTGTATATGCATTTAAAAATAAACATTCAAGTGGAACAATTTATTCAAATCTAATCGATTATTGGATTATATAATCAGCAACTATTATCTCTTCATATAAATTATATGCTTTAAAATAAATGCATTACTAGAAATATGTTAACATTGGCAATTTTCTTATTTCTGTTTGAGGAATGACAAAATGTCTCTCTGAATTTTTATTTAAAATGTTCGCTTGAGAAAATCGAATTTTTATTTGTAGACAGTCATCAAGCAATTTGAACATTTTTCTAAAGACTTTATTTGCGCATACTCGAAAACTCCATTAATCAAACACATATTTTGTATTCAAATGTCAAGCGGTAAATAATTTGTATCCCACAGACTTTTGATGTCTCGTTCTTATTCATTTTATGGTCGCAGCTTTATGGCCACCTTATTTGGCCCCAGGTTGAAGGTGATTCATAAAGAACTTTTGGATCTATGGCATATCTATAAAGGTAGCTAATAGATTTCCTGACACATTACCAATGTCAATTTTCCCATGCCTCTATTTGACGAGCTGCCCTCGCGTTTGGGGGTTGGTTACGAGCATAATTGCAATACGCATTTGAATTTGAATAACGGTTACATGCCCAAATTATAACAATAATTGCATGAGCGTTGCCAGCGTTTGTGGCATGTAGCATCGAGTAAAACCAAGTTGTTTTTTGTTGCATCTTTTATCAATGCATTAAGTGCCGCCGCACTCATTATGAGGGCTTCCCCACCCCGCCGCCGCACTACCCTACTACATTGTAGCCGTCGAGTCGTGTCGCGCTGACAAGAAAAACAAAAATATACAAATACACATGCAGCAACAGAAATCATAAAATAATACAAAAAATAAAACAAAAAATAAATAAAAATGAAAATGAAAATGAAAATACACGACGCCGTTCAAAAGGGCACGCTTTCCATAATAAACATTAGCGGGGCGACAGAGCGACAGTCTGTCGAGTCACTCAAATCGAGTCGCTCGCTGGCGATCTAAGCGACCCGTGCGCCCCTCCCCCTATCTGCCCCCGCTTCGTTCTCTCTCTCTCTCTCCCTCTGTCCCTCTGTCCCTGCCTCAGAGTTCTCATGGTTCGCTGGCGTCCGTTCTGCAGTTTGTTTGTTTGTTTGTGAATTGGTCGTCTTTAGTTACACTTGAATACGTTTTCTGTTTTGTGTGTCCGACTCGCATATGTATATGTGTGTGTGTGGTTTCTGCCAGTTGCCCACCACTCACACCACAATGCACCGGTCTGCACTGCACTTCACCTACTTCGCTTGCACTTTAGCGAGCGCTTAAAAATAGAATTGCATACTTAGCGGCGCAGGAAGCGGTCGCTGTCAACATGCTCGTTTGTATGTATGAACGGAACCCCAACTCCTACTTCGCCTTTTTGTCTTGGCCGCAAAGCTGTCCAAGCACAGGCTTGGTCCCTTATTACAGTGGTCCCTCAAAAAAAAGAAGTTGTCTACAAATGAAGATCTTATTTTTTCGTTTTCTGTGTTTCAAAACATTTCAATATTTTTAGTAGCAATTATTATGGCTTTTAATCAAAATAGATCCAATCTTAATATATTTTTATAAAGATATTTTAAGAGTTCCATCACAATATCAAGTTATAATCATAATTTAACATTTATTTATAGTACATTTTTAGACTTAAATTAATAAGTTGTTATTTATTTTTTCAATGTTTTATGAACACAATAACGAAAATTAAATTTATATATTAATTATTTCATAGATATGTGTTTATATTTATACCAAAGTTCTCTAATTATCGAGGGATTACTGTATAGCTAAGCATGGCAGCTACTTACCCGTTGTTGTTATTGTTGTTGTTGTTGTCGCTATTTGTTGTCTGCTGCAGTGCGACAGCGTTGGGCGAAGACAGAGCAGCGCCTTCTTATGAGTAAACATGTATCCAGTTACAAAAATTGTATGCAAGTGCCGTTCTGCGTATCCTTTTTAAGCCTGCCTGAATGGCCCCTCTCTCTGTCTCTCTCTCTGTCTATCTCTCTCTCTCTCTTTCTCTCTATCTGGATGTATGTGCGTGTGTGTGTGCTTAGGACATCTGTAACCTTATCGCTTATACACTTTAGTCTCAGTTTTTTTTTGTTGTTTGCACTGCGTACTCCGTATCCTGCTTGTCAATATTTCATAGTTGCTGCCAGCTGTACGTATGCATGTATGTGTGTGTGTCTGCATTTATAGTGCATACAAATACATATACATATTTATCTATATACATATTATTCATTAAATTGAACACTTCACATAATGTTGCCTGTGGTGCCGCAGCACACACACACCGTTTCAAATATCCTGCTGGTGCTCTCACAATATCAACATCATAACAAAAACATCATCATCATCATCAACTCAGCATTGCGGCATTGTTATTATTATTGTTATTGTTGTTCGTTGCTGTCGGCAGCATGCACGCACAAATCACACAGACACAGACACACACATACGCAAATATAAGTATATGGATATGCACAAGCAGAGGCACTCTAATCTGTCAAATTTTACGTTGCGTTTCCCGCATAAAAACTTCGATCTCGTGCTTCGATCTTCGTTATATTTCGGTATTTCACTTTGGCGCGCTTCGTGCGTTGCCCGACAAAGCGCGATACGTGCGAGCGCGTTGACGTTACGAATCGGAATGACACTACAACGTTCTCACTCGAGCGCTGCTCACTTGTAGCACTAGGAGTGAGAGAGCACATCTGCTGCCGTTACATGTGAACGTAACGTAACGTAACGTAACTCACAGCGCATTCCGCTCTCTTCATACGTAGCGCTCTCTCAGCATGAAGTTGGCGCAGCAGCAGCATCCCCAGTAGCAGGAGCACGTTTTGTTGTTGTTGTTGTTGACGTAGTTGGAGCTGGCATATGTGCAGGAAGAGGAAGGGAAAGTGTAAGTGGGGAGAGCAGTGGAGCAGAGCTGTTGCCGATGCTGCTCTCCATGGTGGGATGGACGGACGCACTTTACGATGTATGCCTCTTTGGCATTGCCACTATTTTGTATCTCTTCCTGTGATTCTAATTTTACATACGAAATTCCAGAGATGCTTTCATATTTTCGTTTGATGATTTATTGACTGCAGCGGCAATTAGAAGGCCTTTTATTTCACTTTTTATCAACTTCATTCATTGACATTGACGATGGGGCGCTGCTGGCTGCTGCTCTCTGCTGCTGCTTGTGTGTTTTATTTATATTTTTGTTGTGCGTGCACACCCACACAAACACAAACACACAAAACGCACCTACAACAGGAGACTTATTGTCTGTCTTTTCACTTTTGCTTAGCGGCAATAAAGTCATTGATTAACAAACAAACACACACACAATATTCGCAAATTGTTAAGAGTGTGAGTTGAAATTATTTGATGTGTATTTGTTTTTTTTCTTTTCCTTTTCCTTTTCGATTTGTTTTTTTTTTTTTTTGTTATTTGTTGTTTAAGGAGCGCATTCCAATGCGATAACTCAGCAGCAGCGACTCCAATAAGAACCTGCTCCCGAAGGTAACAGCATCCAACTGATACGCAAAGCCAAGCAAAGCGTCATCTAGCGCCGAAATCCAACGTACAGCTGTTCTATAGCAGTCAGTTTGTTGCGTTGAGCAGTTACGATAAGTCGATAAATTGTGGCGGCAGACGAGCAATTCGTTAAGTAATCAGTTTGTTATGAAACTGTCGTTGAGTTTGTACACTTTTTTCGGTTAGTAGAACTTGCTGGTTTAGTTTAGACATCAACCCAATTTTGTCACGACATAAATCATATCTAGTGCTCTTCAAACTTTGCGCGAACTCTAAAACTATTTAAAGGATAATGCACTGCATTACAACTTCCCAGCGCCATAACTTTGTCAAAAATGACCCGATTTTCAGAAACGAGGACTTTCTGATAATGGCTTGACCTCTAGCTAAATACTACATTCAAAGATGGAAACGCGATTCTGAATCGATCAGTTTATGTCAGCAAGAGTAAAAAGTCAATTTTTTTAACATCCAAGACACAAAAACATATTCATATATTTTTATTTAAATTACATAAAAACTTCAGCCACGAGATTAGCTAATTCTTATACATGTCGCAGAGCACCTTCTCCATGGGCGTATTCCCAATGGTGCGCTGAAAGAAGATCGACTCGATCTTGTGCGAGTTTATCATCCGAAGCAGCGGCAACATCAACAGCAGCCTCCCAAACCGAGCTATTTGTGCGGTGAACTGTGTCTTCGTGTGCTGCGACAGCATCACCTGAAATCCATCACGAATCGATTAGAAAAAAGTGCTTTCAATAACTTGAATAGCAAGTTTTATACGGTTTTTGCAAGCCAAAGTGTTTTCTATCTATTTTTGACCTGATTCATTTATTAATATTAATATTTATTTTAAGCTTTGCTTTTGCATTTGCAATCTGAGCCATAAATTGATAGATCTGTGGATATCATTTATCTCCCATGAGGAATAATTTAATCCTACTTTAATCCTAATTTAATCTTCCTACTCCCAATCTCTGTCTCTTATGGTTTCTTGTGCATTAATCTTAGAAACAGAGTTAATATCGAGGACAAACCAAGTCAAAAAAGTTTAAATCATTTGATGTCCTTTCAGAAAATATATGAAAAATAGTTAGCATCCTTCGGCTAATATCTGTTAAATGCTTTTGGTTTTTCTAAATATTCCTGGTTTTAAAATTTACTTATAGTAGGAGCAACTCAAGCTGTTGTCTTACATGTGCCTGATCCTGCAGGTTTTCGATTTGCGCCGGATCCTTAAGGCCACGGGTTTCGGGTCGGAAGAGCACAATTGCCTTGAGGCAAGCGAATTCAGCCGGATCCACCAGGACGGCCTTGTACTTGCAGAAGATCTCGTGCAGCGTGCGCACATCAGCAGCCAGCTGAGGATGAGCAAGAGTTAGGATTAGGATAAGTTGGAGATCACTTTGACTTCACGTCACTTACTTCCTCCTTGGTGACACAATTATCACCATTGGCGTTATTCTCTAGATTATTGCAGTGTTCGGCCACGGAGAAGAGAGCACAACCAGTGGGTTCTAGGGGTATGCACCATTGGATGGCATTCAGTAGGAACAGCTCCGACCACGACTCCTCCAGCAGTATGACCTGATCCCTGAACGACAATCTAGCGAAACTGGGCAAATTCTTGGCCCACTTGACGGCCATAAAGAGCAATCGGGCACTCGTCTCATAGACGGTCTCGTGCTGATGGGCATACAGATTGGGCGACATGAACTGTGGCATTATGAAACTGGAATCAGATCTGCTGCCCGCATGCGGCTCCTCATCATTCGTCACATCGATAGAGTCATCTGAGTGGATAGCAAAGGCTTTAATATTAAAGTTGTTGACACCCGACCAACCAGTACACACCATCATTATCATTCTCCGGCGTGGGACTGGAAGAGCTGATGGACGAGACGCTGCCGCCGGCCTGATTCTTATCATTGGTTGCATCCGGCGCCGGTGAGTTGGGATCAATGCTGTGATTGCTGCTCGAGTTGGTCGAATGAGAGATATTGCCGCTGCTGGAGAGCTCCATGCCAACGGAGCCATAAGCGACCTTCTCCTTGGGCGAATGATGCAGCCCGGCCGCACTGAAGATGGGAAAGCTGCTCGCATGACCCATGTGATTCGTGGCCAGTTGCATGGATGAGCTGAGGTGGTTGTGATGCAGTAGACGTCCCGTCGGCAAACTGCCCAGCGCTGTTCAAGGAGTCAAACTTGTTTGTTAGTTTCACAAATTCACACCAACTGGTGGCCAAGTTTGTGTTTTGTACTCACAGGGCGGCGGCAAGAGGCCGGTGCCGTAGCAGGGCGGCGATAGTAACACAGGAGGTCTGCAAATTGAAGAGTTATGCAAATGACAGCAACAGCAGCAACAACAATGACAAGAGTAACACTTACCCAAAAACACCAACGGCTACGGCTGCCTCACGCAACGCCCGTCCGTGCTCCATCTCCCGCAGTGTCTCCGGCCGTATAGTGGCCGTGTTGCGTGGCTGTCGCTCATTTTGCACCGCTATAATTGCAAAACAAATGCAACTAACATAAGTAAACCATATACACACACACACACACATACACAATATGGCATAGATCTGTGTGCACCACAAAGTGTGCCTGCTGAAAGGACTCCCCCTCCCCGCCTCCACTGTGCCCAACATAATGAGGAAAATGTCACAGTGACAAAATAGCTTGACGCCTCGCTAAATTTGTAGCAGGTAGCGCGTGCCATCTCGCAGCGATTCTCTCAGTCATTGCCCAACCCAATATGGTAAATTGGTTTTGTGTTCACGTGCCACTCACGCCCACAAATTGTTTTCGCATTTGTTTATGCAATTTTACCGCACTCAATATCCAGCTGAATGGGATCGTGGGCCTAGCACCTTCTTCCCTTTGGAAACTGTTGCCGTTTTGCATATGCCGCCTAGCATAATTTACGGTTAAATTAGTGGCCGGGAATAACCATAATGAAGTGCGGCTATTGATTGAACAGTTGTTAATAAGAGAGAAAATTATTATAGCTGACAATTGAGTCTAAAATTATACAGTTAGCACGTATATTCAATGATATATATATCAAATGGGCGTGTCACCTACGCAGATTTCAACTTCATTTTAAAGGACTAAAACTTGACAACAAATCACCGATCCGGTAGAGCAAGAGTCAGAGTCATTCCTACTTGGTAGGTAATTAATTTGAAATTTATATTCCTTTTCATTTATTTTAGTTATTTATCTTATTGTTTCCTTAGGAAACAAGAATTTCCAGTGCAAAAACTGGTCAGAAATCTGAATTTTCGAGCTGTTAACTGTCGGCAAAAGATTCGAAAGTTTTGCGAATTTGATATAAAGTAATTAAAATATTTGATAAATAATATAGTTAATATATACAATAATTAACTCTTTACTGTTAATCAATGAAAATTAAAGAATTGTATATATAATATATAAAAATATATAATCATACCTGTTTTTAGCATGATAGGTATTAAACATTTAAGATATCATTAAATAAAATCATCTTATATGGTTTTAATATGTTCTCTAGTTATTTTAAACAAACAAAGCTGTGATTTTTTAAGATAATTATTCATTATTTGTATCCAGTATTGGCACATAAAATAATTATTATATATTTAACCTACTCCATTTTGAAATTACTTTGATTACTCATTTACTTGAAAATAACTTTGTTCAAAATTGGGTGACAGCACTTTTGTTTCTTACTCAATTCTTTATTATCATTACAATTTGCTAAAAACGAGACTTGCATATCTTGTGTGTGTATAAGTTAATTGAATCTAAAGGATCGAAACCCTAATTTCAAATAAATAATATAAAAGTAAGGTCATAAGACAGCTGACACCTGACAGCTACGCTAGTTACTCTCAGTTGACTCGATCAGAGCAGGGCAAATCTAAGTATAACTTATAGGTAAATGCATATATATCTATATGTATGTCTGATAAATATATCTATAATGTCTGCTGTTTACTCAAGTGCTCTGAAGCTGCTTAAAAATCTGTCAAAGACAACAACCGGCAGCAGGTAACAAATCAATTGAATGAACAATATGTAAATAAAGTGCGCCCACAAACAGTCACCCCAAGGACCCCTTTTGAAAATATAGCCGCTGCTCATTCGTGGGAAAGGGTTAGCAGATCTGAGGGGGGAGGTAAGCACTAAGTACGGATACTTTGAATATTTACATTAGACAGATGCACGTGTCGCCAGGTTTTTGAGGTCATGTTAAAGAGCAATTAAACGTGCTTCAGTTCATTAGAGCGTTGAGCAGCAGCTCAATATGAATAGTGAGTGTGGGCTTAATAGTGATTAGATGATTATAATGGCAGTAATACATATATACGTACCATCCTTGTTCATTCCCATTAGAAGGCACTTCTTGAGCCTGCAGGCCTGGCATTGATTCCGATGCGCCTTGTCCACAATGCAACGTCCGGTGCCCGCCTGACAGCTGCAATCAAAGAAACGCTTTTCGATTAATTGAAGTTGAATTTAATGCTGTACCAGTTGGCCTCGGTCATAATTAAGTTAGGCCTCCTAACCAGATTTGTCGTGTCAAAAATTGCAACATTTGTCAAATGCGGCGCTCAAACGAAGCGTAAGACAACTGCCAGCAGCCAGCCAGCCAGCCAGCCAACCAACCAACGAGTAAGTACAAAAGCACTTCAGTATCTGCTGCTGCTGCTGCTGCTACAAGCAAAGAATAAAAGTATCTGAGCGGATCTATTGGCCTTTTGTTCGGTAGTTTTCTATCTGTGTGGCACTTGTGGCATTTTAATCAAATCACGACACGACTCGAGTCTAAGTGGCGGGCACGAAATCATTGCCAGCAACCCCCGTGCCAGCTTAGTCATCGTCCTGCATCCCTGTCGCACTCTAAGCCTGCGCCAAAACTCAAAACACAAAATGGCAAAGGTTCTTAGCGGTGTGGCGTCTGCCTGCCAAGTATCTATATGTGGCGCCACCGCTGCTGAAGTTTGACTAACTAACAAAGCACTTAGCTAAATGTATCTTTTAGATCCACGCACAACATTCCACTCTATGTACGGATAGCACTACCGCCCACTATCTGTCCATAAAATATGCAAATTATTCACATTCGAAAACAAATCACGTAGATTGAACGCTGCGCCTTTTTAAGAGCTGGGTGTGCTTTGAGTTGTTTATTATTATAATTCTTTTCAACGTTCTGTGGACGTTTCTTGTGAAAAAAGTATTTAATAATGTTCTCACCTATCCATTTATAAGTTAATTTAATATAGGAACATTTTGACTATCATGGTTTGTATATGATATTTCCAGACTTAAGATTAACATATACCAATTTAATTATTGTTTGTTCTCTAAATTTATTCTGCATCCAAGTTTTATTTATTATTTAGGGAAAATATTCTAATTAGTTGGAAATTTAATTTGTAATTTTAATTATAAATTGCAACATAGGAAAACTATTTCAAATGTTTTGTAGTTGCTCCTTTCTTTTTTTTTTGTTGATATATTTACAAAAGGTTTTAAGTCTTTTACCTAACTCTTGCTTGTTTGATTAGAGATTCGGCTAACAATTATGAATAATGCGCTCTGAGAACGGCCACAGCCTGTGGCGCTACAGTGGAGCGAGCGGTGACGACTCATTATTAATTGATGGAAAAGTGTAAACTTTTACACTTCTTCAAGCGTTACGTGACAAGCGGCAACAACAGAATTGATTGGGCCATTTTACAGTGTGGATTAAGTCTGGTTGGGCATAGTGGCATGTCCTTGCCTTGCCTTGCCTTGCCTTTGATTGACTGCACAACTGACAAGTTTTGAAGTGTTACTCATGCATATTTTACTCATTTCTAGGTTTATTGATGGTTTATAAGGAGCTGCGTGGCCAGGCAGCACTGCAATGTCAAATTGATAGCTGCTCCTTCAAAATGGTTCTGCGTAAAATCTTTCCGGCCATGTATGCCGCACCGGACACTGTTCCAGCCGTATCGCGGAATGCGACGCTCTACTTGCTGCGCTGTGTCTTTCTGATGGGTATCCGATGGCCACCAAAGAACTTTTTCCTTATCTACTGCCTGTGGTCCCTTGCGCTGAATCTGTGCTCCACTCTATATCAGCCCATTGGCTTTATGACGGGCTACATCATTCATTTGTCGGAGTACTCGCCGAGTCAGCTTCTCAACTCGTTGCAGGTAGCACTCAATGCTTGGACCTGCTCCGCCAAGGTGATCATTGTCTGGTTCTTGGTCAAGCGCTTCGACAGGGCCAATCTCATACTGGACGAGATGGACAAGCGTCTAACGCAGCCCGGCGAGCACAACAAAGTGAATAACGCAGTCTCAAACAGCAATCGCATCTTCTTCTCCTTCATGACCGTCTATATGATCTATGCGACGAGCTCATTCATAAGTGCTTCGATCATGGGCGTGCCCATGTTCCAGAACTATTATCCGTTTCTGGACTGGCGGGCGAGCCGATTCCAGTTCTGGCTGCAATCGGGTCTGGAGTTCTTTGCGATGCTGGGCGCCTGCTTCCAGGATGTCTGCGTCGACTGTTATCCCATCAACTATGTGCTGCCACTACGCGCTCATCTGGCCAATTTTGCGGAGCGTCTGCGACAACTGGGCAATGATCCCGATGAGCATCCGGATCAGCTCTACGAAAAGCTAATCGGATGCATACTGGATCACAAAGTTATACTGCGGTGCGCATTGTTCCAGTATTCCAACTGAGTATATATTTCATATCGTTTCTCTTCTAGCTATTGCGATACACTGCGTCCCGTGATTTCGGGTACCATCTTTGTGCAGCTTTTGGTAGTGGGTTTCACGCTGGGTTTTACATTAATTAATATTGTCATGTTTGCCAATTTTGGATCTCGCATTGCGGCGCTTGTCTTTATGACCGCTGTGCTGATGGAGACAACGCCCTTTTGCATACTCTGCAACTATTTGGCGGATGACTGCTATAAAGTGGCAGATGCTCTTTTCGAGTCCAATTGGATCCATCAGGAGCAGCGCTACAAGAAAACCATGCTTCAGTTTTTGCAGAGTCTTCAGAAGCCAATTGTTTTTATGGCCGGCGATGTGTTCAGCATTTCTGTGGCAACCAATTTAAATGTAAGGATTTTTGACTTAAAACTTGAACTTCAGGTCTTCCAAAATTTGTTGATATATGTAGCTGAATGATAAGTATTTATTTTTATGTTGCAGGCTACAAAGTTCTCGTTCTCTGTTTTTACACTGGTTAAACAAATGAATATAGCAGAGAAACTCTCCAAGCCCAAAGAAGTCTAATGAAACAAGAGGTGCAACCAGAAAATGAAATCTAACTTATCAATCAGATCTAAGATAAGTTTGAAAAGAGTTTCATTTTGTAGATTTACCTTCAAGTGTTTTACTAATTATGAAAAATTTATATATAAATCTATTCAAATTGTTATCATAACACAATCATATAATTGTAGATATTTTTCAAAGCTGTGGAGTTATCTAACTAACTTAATTTTGATCAGAGTTTAAGATCAGTGAATTACTTAAAAAATTCTATAAAAACATAAATATTTTCTATATTTTAAAAAATGAAAGCAGCTGTACTTTGTCTGACTTATAAGCACCGAAAAAACCAATCAAGCCTAAGTAGTGACTGTATAATTTTGACAATTGAAAGCTATTCAAAGAAATGTGTATCCTTATCAAACTATTCTATTTTATATTCTTCAAAATACTGTAGACGCATAGGAGAAGAAAATGCCTACAGCCGAAAGTTCTGATTGGAGGCAATTGATTATAATTGAAATCGCCTTAATGCGGCCACCAGAGAGAAATATATAAAATGCAGATCCTTTGGCGGCACATTGACTTCGTCGTCTATCGAAAAACATGTCACGTAACAAAAAATATACTCGTTCACTAGTCCTGTCTGCTTCGTGTGTGTGTGGGTGTGGACTGTGTGCTGTGGGACTGTGTGTGTGTTACATTTTATTTCCCATTCAGCTCCGTTCAAACTTTTGCTCTATTTTGTTAAGAGCCCCGCCATCTGCCTCCACATCCATATCCACATCCACATCCACATCCACTTCCATTCCTCTTCTTATTTTTTTGTACTTTGTTGCGATTTGGCCTGGCTTAGCTATAGTCGTTGGCTGGATGGTTGGGGTGGTTGGTGTAAGGGTCTGCTTTTTGGGCGCATGGAGGGGATGTGGTGCGGCGGTCACATTTGGCCAAGTGTTTTGCGCTTAAGCCCTCCATATCAATCTCATGGGACCACAAGGATATAGAGATTTCGACGTTTGTGATTTACCGTGCAAGTTGCCCCGGCAGAGGCAACAGGATACCGCACCCAGCACGCAGGACTAACGGAATATACATTACAGAATCATAACTTTATGTTGACTCGCAAAGAATTTGTCGCCAAACTTATTTGGCTGTGGAACGGGGTGAGGCGGGGCCAAAGCGGAAACTAGGCGTTGATTTAATGATAATTGAAAATGGAACTGAAACGGAAACTGAAACTGAAACAAGTGCCATAAAATATACGATATTATGACCATAAAATAAAACAAATACGTAATAACAGAAACTTCAATATTCCTGAATTACAACTCGAGCTTCGCACACACAAAATGGCGTTCGAAATAATAGAGAAAAAAAGCAAACAAACAAAAAATTAAATCCGCACTTTGAATTCAATTACATTTTGTGCCATTCGCCCTGAAAAACAAGAGCAAATGAATCAGAAGCTGCACATGATGCTCCTCGTCGAGATTTGGCTGGGCGCCGAGGCCAAAGTCAACGCATTCAAAAGTTGACACTCAAATCCCAAAGATTTGAATAATTGTAATAAATTTGGAAACATTTCGTAAGCCGCCAGACAGCGGATGAGGCACACAGACCCAAACCAAAATCCACCAACCACCGCCCACTTGCTAAATGGCAAGCGACATTTTAAGCAGGATTCGGAGGAGGGGTTTGAGTTCTCTTTTTTTGTTTTTGTTTTTTGGTTTGTTGGTTGCTACGTACCGGTAGATGAGCTTGCGCCGCACACTGCGCTTGAAGAAGCCGGAGCAACCGTTGCAGGCGAGTATGCCGTAATGTTTGCCGGAGCTGGTGTCGCCACACACCACGCAGATGAGGCCCAGATTCTGACCCTTCAGACGCGTCAGCGCGGCCTGATCACCCGACGACTGGCTGGACGCGATGGCCGCCTGATGATTGGACGCAACAGCTGCCGCTGCAGCGGCTGCCGCGGCGGCTGCACTATGATTCCAGCCCAAGAGGCGACTCGACGTGGTCAGTGTAGGCTGTGGGGCAGTGATCGCTGCTGTTGCATTTGCCGACTGTTGTCCATGCGATGACGGCGTAGGTGTATAGCAATGACGCGACGGACTGTGCAGCTCTACAAAAAAGCAAAAAAACAAAATCATGAAGCTATGCAATAAAAAATCACTTATGTAGTTCATTTAAATTAAATTGTAATTTGTCAAAGAGGGCACCGGCTGATCTTATCCCAGCGCAACGACATTGACGCCCTGTAATCCGCAAAATATATTTACACATTCAATTAGGGTGCCATTAAGCCAAACGGCTCAAATCACTCTCCGCACTCTCGTCGCTGGCGTTCGCTCGTTCTTGGCATAAAATTTGCCTCGGGGGACAATTGTTTTGCCATCACACCCTAATTTGATTGTAGTTTCCATTCTGATTCCTTGATGCACTTAACCCTCGGACCACATTTGTTACACTCGCCACTTGCCAGTGCGCTCGAGCGTTCTTCTTCTGTTTGGCTTCGGATTTGGCTTTGGCATTCATCCCGTCTGTTCCTTCTGGTTCTGGCTCTGGCTCTGGCTCTAGCTGGTAGCAACCAACTGCGGTCTAGTGCCGGCGGATTAGCGTCATATGCTTGCATTTTCCGCCACTCTTTGTTAATTTTGATGAGCTCGTTGAAATTCACTTTAGCGTATCCCAGCATCCTTCCACCGGAATGGCAAATGCGACAAAAGTGTTAAAGGTCCTCCCACCAACGCTCGTCCTGGCCCAGCTTGTGTTATGAATTTTGAAATTTTGGCAGACTGACTCGAGTTTAATTCAATTTGGTGATTATCATAAATTGAATTTGTTCGTTCTCTCGTGCGTTCCATTCTGAATTCGATTTGTGGATGGATTTTTCTTTGAACTTCCACAAGTTTATTTTTACAAGTCTATCAGAATTTGGTTTTATTCACATAATTGCAGAGGTTTAATATATATTTTTTGAAAAGTCATTCGTATATCATATAAGTATGTATATATATGTATATATATTTTTATCTTTATATATCTTTATCGAAAAAAGTTGCAGTTAAATTTATTTGATGCGCGTAATAAACGCAGTTGCTATTCTCAAATTAAATTATCTAAGGGATGCCTAAAAAGGATACTAATTAATGTGCGCTTGCTTTTAGCTGTTTTTTCTTCTTTTTTTTAATACAAAGCCATATAAAGAAAAACAGCCAACAGAAAAAATGAACATTATGCATATTTACACAGACAATTTGCTGAAATGCGGCTTGGAATTAAACTGCACATTTTTGTATAATTAAATAAATGTTGACCTTTTTGGCCCCTTTTATAAGCACACACGTAAAGGACTTTTACTTTATTATATGTGTGATATTTTGCTTAACATTTTTGTGTTTTCCCTTTCCTATTAAATATACACAAAGTTTATTTAGGTACGTTTATAACAGTTGCAGATTTAGATATTCTATATACTTGAATATATATCCATTATATTACCACTAATTAATATTCCACTTTGTAAAGTATTTTAATTTTTTTGTTTCTATATACTTGAATATATATCCATTATATTACCACTAATTAATATTCCACTTTGTAAAGTATTTCTGTGTATTGTAAATCAAATATTGATTTGATATTTAAATTCTTCACTGAGAGGATTCACAATAAATTATACCTTGTGATGCTGGACGCGGGTCCGATAAACTTTCTTCTTTATTCATAGCTAGCTAGTTGGATAACTGAATCAATATAACAACTCGTAACTGAACAAACACTTTTGAAACTCCTTAAACTAATAAACACTTGAAATTCGAGCTTCAATATGTACTTGACTTGCGCGGTATTTGATTGCCTCGTTCACTTTGATTTAAACGCATTATATTTATTTAACATTTGTATCCGTAACAGAAGCAAGGAGCTCAGCGACGGCAACGCGCACGGCCGGAATGAGAGCGTATCTGAAACCGACTTTAGGACGAACTGAGCAGAGCAGAATTGCTGTGCCGCTTGCTTGTCCGACGGCAACGGCGATTATGATGTTAACGTCTCGATGTACGATTTCAGATTTATCATAAAACCATGACAGAAGCTAAACAGCGATGTGTCCGGCAGTAGAGCAGCCTGCCAGCCCAGGCAACCAACCAGCCAGTCAGCCAACCCCGAAATAGGAAAAAAAAAGAATAAATACAGCATCTCTGTATTTATAATCCATGCTCGGTGAGTGGGCAGAGGTCGGCCATGTGTGTGTGTGTGTGTGTGGCAGAACAAAAAGCACACCACCAGCAAGGACAGCAGCATACCAATGCCACTGCCACCCACTAGGCGCAATAAGAGCAGAGAGCAACGAGCAGCGAGCAGCAAGCAGCAGGCAGCAGGCAGTGAGCGGCAACAACAAGGATAACCGCATCCACATCCGCCACAACCGCCACCCAACCAACCCCCACTCAATACATACACACGTATTTATTATGGGTGTGTGGGTGGTCGCATATTACGCTTGCAAAGACTTTTAGTGGCAACTCTGGTGGCGCATTTGCTTGTTGGCTTGCTTTGATTCGTTCCTTCTTGATGCTGCGGCGAAACCAGCGCCAACATCGGCGTCGACGTCGACGTCGACGCTGCTGTTTGAGTGTAGGTAAGCCAAGCCGCAATCTCAATCTCCAATAAACACCCGAGCTGCGCTCTCTGCGCTCTTGCTTCGACACACACACGCACACACACACATACTCACACAGCGAGAACTTTGGCCGCCATCATGACTGGCAGAGAAGAAGAAGCAGTTGCAAATACAGCGCAATGGCAGCTTGGAGCAGTTACCGCGCCCCATCTCCGCTCTCCCCTCCCCCGCTCGCTATCGTACTGTGACGCAGCTGCGCGGGGTGTTCGCTCACATAATCGTCTTGGGCTTTGACATTTTGTTTTTGTTTTGTAATACCTTTGTGATGTTAGTGCTTTTGAATTTGCTCCTTCTTCGTTTCCATCTCTGCTGCTCCTGCTGGTGCTCCTGCTCAGTTTTTCGTCGTCATCCTTGGCCTCGATGCTGGTGCGGTCCTCGAACCCGATGCTACCAGTTAACTGTAATTGAATTGAACGCAAGTCTGCTGTGGCCTGTTCGTACTGAGTGGCAGTTCGTGGTTCGCAACTTGTTTTTGTTGTTTCGAATACTCCGACCTTAAGTGCCTCAGATTTATGGGCAAAACAATAATGAATACACATCTGCGTATACTATTCCGATAGAAACTAGATTAACCCATGCGTAACTAATCGGATTACGTCAGTTATAGATAAAAGCTTTGATTGTGAATTATGGAAAATAAAGAAATAAGTGCGTTTCCTTGCAAAATCAACTTGAATCAAAGACATTATTTATTTATTGTTAATTATCAACAATTATATAATAAAAATGTCATTTAAATGCAGTTATACGTTTGTTTGTAAAGTAAACTTAAAGCATTGAGTCAAATAAAACTATTTCACTTAATGACTTTATTCAGTAAGCTATAATAAATACAGACATTTTCATAGAACAAAGTTTCGACAAAAACTACCATCCAGAAAATGTATATAATTATGGATGAAATATGAATGATGACTAATGAATACAGCAATCAGTTAGCAATATTATTTCATAAGTGGGATAAGTCGAAACATATTCTCAAATTATCTCTCTTTCTCTCTTCTGAAGAATTTATTTTGAATTGACAAGCTGTACGTAAACTGGTCTGAAAATGCTAATAAAATCATGCAAACTTCAAGCAAAGACAAAGTAAGAAATCTTAAATTTATAACTACTTAATTGACTTGAATTTCATGGCATAAACATAGCAATATAAGTGTACTCCGTTTAATTTTACTGATTGCATGACATTATTACTTCTGCTTCGATAACGTTATTTTAAATAGGCAAAATAACAAACAGTGTATTTAATGTTCAAAGCAAGCTGCCACCTTATAGACAGGAATATGCAATAATCGATAAAAGTTCATCCGGCCACATCCACTTGACGTGCCCGTTTTTTTGTTTTTTATTCTCTTTTTTTTTTTGTCGAGGCGCTTTTGTTGTTGAGGATTTTGCTGCGCTTAATACGCCAACATTAACTTTGTAACAAATGAGATGTCGGAGTACAACAATCACCTACCAGCTCCTACACTCTCATCTCTCTCCCACTTACCCCACACCCGACCACCCAAGCTCATTCTTGCCAGCATCCCGCTTTCCTTGGCGGCTGCTGGGGAGAGAGACAGATATACATTTGTATATATATATATATATATATATATATATAAAGAGAGAGAGAGAGAGACAGAGAGTGAGCGAGCGAGAGAGCGAAGGGGAGAATGGGGGCAGGTGGGGCTGGCAGAAGTTTATGGCCAGGACAAAAGTGAAAGAAACGCAAAAGTCAAAGCGCTTTGCTGTGCGCTGGCCACGCCCACGTTGTAGGAGGAGCGAGCGAGAGCGTTATCCTGTAATATCCGTGCATCAAAAATGCCCGCCAGCAACAACAACAGCACAACTGATGCGCAAGCGAGACAGCTGGCGCAGTGCGAGCGAGACAAACATAGTCTGGGGGTTGGTTCTTGACATTTGAACGGGCGACATCTCTTCTCTGCCAGGATACAGACACACACACACACATACACGAACACACACACAGATTCTATGGATGTGAATACGAGTTGTGTTTTTTTTTTCTCATTCTGTTGCCTCTTTTTTTTGTGCTTCATCAAGTGCAGTGCACTTTATTTAATCAATCAAAATTCGCATAGCAAGTCTCCACCATAACATTCATTTCAGAAGTTAAGTGAGTTTTTTTATTGCGCAAATTTTCATACGTATGTGAAAATATTTACCACAAGAATTCTAAGGAAAATAATATTTGAAAATTTTTACAGCAGATTACAGTATAAGTAGAATCAATATTTTTATTTCAATCTTTAATTTTAGTTGGTATTTTAGTTCATGGAAATATAAATTCTTTCTTTCCCTGGAACTGAAAAGTAAAATTAAATAAACAAATAAGTTCTGCTTTCCGCTACGATTTCTGTTCATCTCTTCTTTTTTTTTTATAGCTCGCTCCAAGTATCGAGCAGATAATTGAATGTTCGAAGAGTATCTGCTGCTGAAGTAATTCGAATCTGCACATTATTTGGTTGAGTTATCATGCCCAAAACAGCACATTATTTATTTGTAAACAAATACAAACTGGAGTCAATGACACGTGCCGTTTTCAGGTAAATTCATGTGTCTACCTCATCCGACGCACAAAACCAGTTTACGAAACAAAGAACAATTTAAAACGCCTCGTTTAGCAATTAATATTCGGTTCTTAGTTTCTGGCGCATCGCATCCCGCACTCGGCCTTGCTTCTCACATTTATAGGTTGCAGTCATGAATTTGGCATATTTACATTTCGACTTTCATTAACAATTGAAGGGAGCCAAAAACTGCCGTTGAAGTCAAGCTGTTACCGTTCCTGTTACTGATTGACAACTCAATTGAGGGGTTGCGAAAGCATTGTGGATGGTCCATCTTGAGCTGCAAAAGCACAACGAATTCTTTTTATCATATATCCAGTAAACATATATGTATATATAATTGACTTGAGCGGTTAGTTACATGATGACAGGAGTGCGACTTAAGTTCAAGCAACATCTAGAGAATTCCCAAAAACCACGCAAAATAAAATCAAAAGATGTCTTAAACATGAGACACAAATTCGGGAAGGCACAAATACTATTCGTTATATTTTTGAAGACTATTTTTTAATCTAAAGCAATAGGTTTTTTCTATATATCGGAGTAGTTTGATTTCAGTTGTTGTCCTTGTTATTATTTGTATTTGTATATGGGCTTTAATTTGAATATTTTTTATTTACAATTTATTTATTTTATTTACGACTTTCTCGTTTTCAAGTCAAATAACAGTTGCAATAAACAAGCATTCAACTTAATTGCTTACGTGGCTCATCATTATAATTTACAAGAAAAACTTACTTAACACTAGTTTTGCTGTTGTTTTTTAATTATTCTTTTATTTTATTTTGTTTTATTTTTTTTTTGACTGTGCTTTTTGTTTCTTTTAAGATAATTAATTAGTTTATTTATTGATTTTGCTTCGTTTATTTTGTGTATTTTTACTAGTGAGAGTATTGATTGATTAATTATGTATACATGTATATATATATATTTATATATATATATATATCATCAGCATTGTAATATATATCGACTTCTCTATATATTCTATTTTCAACTTTGTTAATTTCTGTTTTGCTCAATTGTTGTTTGTTTTGTTGGGGTTATTCACTATACGTCTGCGGACTTGTGTATAAATAAAAATATAATAATTTTGTTTCGCTTCGAATAATACATGCCATACATAGAAATACGTTGTATTCTGATTATGATTCTCATAATTTATGGTTCGACGTTAACCACGTTAGGCCCTCGTAAAGGCCATCGCCGCTTGTGGCACATGATGGCTGGACATACCAATTGCGATCTCTTATTCTAGTTAAGCCTAGTTTTTCCTGGATTTCATGGGGTTTCATTGCTGTAATTAAAATACATTTAAATAGTGATATACAACGTGGCGAATATAGGCTAATGCAAAATGTACCTGAAGATAGATCCTGTTTATTAGCAAATATCAGTATAATGGCGTCCCGCATCTCTCTATCATTAATTATCCTATGCAGTTCAGTGCGCGCTTCGTCTATTCTATCTCGATCGGCACAGTCCACAACGAATATTAGACCCTGCGTGCCTGTGAAGAAAATTATGAAGTTTTATAGTTTGGTATATTGTTTGGGGCTCTGCTTCAGCTTTACCTGTGTAATAATGCCGCCAGAGCGGTCGAATTTTGTCCTGCCCTCCAACATCCCAGACATTGAACTTAACATTCTTGTACGTGACGGTCTCCACATTGAATCCCACCGTGGGTATCGTTGTCACTGATTGCCCCAGTTTCAGTTTATAGAGGATCGCTGTAAAGGAGATTGAGTTTTAATTTAATAAGCCATTCATCAAATATTTCAATTTTGAACTCACTTGTTTTGCCAGCAGCGTCCAAGCCGAGCATAAGAATTCGCATTTCTTTGTTGCCGAAAATTTTTGATAATAGCTTTCCCATGATGATGTGTCATCCATTAAACGCTGGCCAAACTGCAAGTAAACACACATATTTAAAAATTGCAGTTAAGGTCATGCGGTCAGCTCGCTCGTTGGCGAATTTCTTGATAATGTCATGATTGTATTAATGAATAAACTGCTCAGTTGGAGGAGTTATCGTATGTGTGATATAAGCATGCCGCAACTGGGCCCGCACACACACACACACACAAATATATATATATATATATATATATATGTATTCGATATTGTACACACAACAGATATATATGTATAAGCATAATGCGTCAACGGAAGTTAAGAGCATTATTTTGCATAATAATTCAACTTACACATTGTTGTGTGCACAACAACTAACGACTACAGCAGCGTTAAGTTCAGAGAGAATTTATCGCTGCCACAACACACACACAAACACACTCGCACGCATATGCACACTCGGCACACACACACAACAGACACAAACTCAAGTACAATTGGGCACGCATACAGCTCATAAGCGAGCGATCATAAATTAAACAAAAGTTATCTCAACAAGGCCTGCAATTGAGTAATCTCTTTGGATCTTTGCTGATAAGGCAGCTGATATAGCCGGCCTAGTTTTGAGTTGGCCGTCATCCTGCTGATCCTTGGGGCATTTATGTGATTTGTGGGGATGCCTGCTTCTGATATGAGCGTTTGCTCGCCGAACACGTCACATACACGCCCGATTCACACACACACATGCATACACACCCAAAATTCTAGACGACAATGGTGATGGGATTACGCTGCTTCGTAACGACGCGCGCGCCTTGGATTGTTTACCATTAAGCGTTAACACGTCGCTTTCAATTTGTGCATGCAATGCATTTGCGATAAAACAAAACTATTAACGAAAATAAACTATAACAACAACAAATTTTGCACTAATGTTCTCATATTTGTATGCGCTGATGTTTTCTTGTTTGCAGTGTTACCCCACACACGCACGTCCGCCAAATAGGTACACACTGGCACATATCAATGTGGCAGCACATTTGTCAGTGTTGGCAAATATATATATATATCACATGCTTAGCAGCACTGCAGCCAATAGATGGCGTAACTACAAAGAGCGTTGCTCGCTTGCCCAATGGAACACATAATAATAAAACACAAATAATGGAATTATGTTAGTAATAGAAGTGCAAAATACAATAAATCATGGCCGGCATTTATCCCAGAGAGGCGGTACGCGTCAAAGTCAAGGTAAGTTCTCATTTTCTTGTATCGCTTTCCTCCCACACCAGCGAGACTACAAAGAAAACAAATTTTCTCAAAATTGCTCTGCTCGTTCTCACCTTTTACACCCCACAACTCTCTCTCCCACAAATCAACAGAAATGTGAGGCAAGCAGGCAGCACGAGTGGCGCAAATTCTCCGTGGATCCCCAAATAACCACACTGGAGGTGCTCTATTCGCTGCTAGCGAAAGCCTTTGACATTAAATCGGATTTTTCAATTAAATACAAGGCCTTCGATCCAGCTGGCAATGAAATATATTTGGCTGTGCTCTCCGACTGGGATCTGGAAGCTGCATTCCTTCGCATACACAATATATCCATACAGACAGCATCGGAACCATGCCTAATGCTACAAATCGATGTCAAACCCTTCACCGTTGTTCGCGAATGCGAAACTGAATCCACGACGACGAGCCGAGCCAACAATGTAAGCAGTACGGCCACGTTCTCGACAAGTGTTTCTCCATTGCAATCATTGGGTGTATCGCAGAAATATGTTCAGCATATGCAGACGAAGCTTCCAGGCTTGATAATGAACCAGATGGAAAAGACATTTTCGATTGTGCAGAAGGCCTTCAATTTGTCTGACGAGCATATGGCCAATCTACCGCCACGTCCGCCCATGTGCGATAGCGAATTTCGATTATATCTCGATGCTTTGGGCCAAATCCAACGCAGGGATGAATTGCGAAAAATTATCTTTTTGGGCGGCATTGAGCCCGGTTTACGGCGCGTCGTATGGAAGCACTTGCTAAATGTCTATCCAAGCGGCCTGCATGGCCTGACCATGGATGGGCATCAGCGCATGGAGTTTATGCGTCGCAAATCCGAGCAGTACTATAAGTTGCGCGACACCTGGAAGTCGGCCGTGCAACATGGCTGTTCCGCCGGCGAGCTGGCCTATGTGACGAGCATGGTGAAGAAGGATGTGTTACGCACGGATCGACTGCACCCGTTCTATGCGGGCAGCGATGACAATCAGAACATTGCCTCGCTCTTCAATATACTGACCACATATGCGCTAAATCATCCCGTGGTCAGCTATTGCCAGGGTATGTCGGACATCGCCTCACCGCTTCTCGTCACCATGAATGACGAGGCGCAAGCCTACATATGCTTCTGTGCCATAATGGCGCGTGTGCGAGGCAATTTCATGCTCGATGGCATTGCGATGACTCAGAAGTTTGCCCATCTCACCGAAGCACTGAGTTTCTACGATCCTGAGTTCTGGGAGTATCTCAAGTCACAGCAGGCGGATGATTTGCTCTTCTGCTATCGCTGGCTACTGCTCGAACTGAAGCGTGAGTTCCCCTTCGAGGATGCGCTACGCATGCTGGAGGTGCAGTGGAGCTCATTGTGCTACAACAATAATGGCTCCAAAGAGTTATCTCTCTACGAAAAGGTTTGTAATCAATGCTTAAGATTTGTATGCACACTCAATCCACGGATTATTTTTCTAATATTAAATTTACTAAATTATTTGTACACGTCTGTCTTGTTCAAGTTTAAGTTAATATTAATAGCATTCAGTTGCGAAATGCTATAAGTATAATTTGCCTACTACAGTGAGAAAACTACTGTTACTAATAATTAGGAATGATTTATATTTTTTGTTTGACAATCGCATATTTTTCTAGCATAATAATTAACCACATTTAACTACAAATAAGTCAGTTTGTTCATACCTTAAAAGTCGTTACCATTCGCACCCGCTGTAAGAACAATTCGCTTAGCACAAGTCGCTTTTGAAGTTAATTTTATAAGGTATGATTGTGAATCTAATGAAATTTAAGTCATGGCTAGCTGTTTGTATATGGGGAAAACTGTTTATATGCCAAATGACAGAATGAATATCAAATGTGGGAATCCATATTTAATCGGAGTCATTAACATCTGTTTTTTTTTTTGTGGGAAAATGTACTTGTTCCAAGAGCATAGTTTATTTACTGATACTTATCAAAATATTATCAATGCTTATCGTTTAGCTCAGTTTTGTAACTTGTGTCAATCAGCAATATAATTCATCACTGCTCAATATTCTCGGGGGTAATTAAGTTTCTCAGTTTGAAAAGTACCTAATCTTTTTTGTTTCCCAATTTTGATTATTTCAGGAATTCGTGCCCTTAACGGAGACATCGGCGCCGAACAGTGCCAGCACGTTTTCCACATCATACAGCGCCACACCGACGAGTCCATCGTATCTGCTGACAAAGCCGCGTGAAAATCCCTACACCAAAGTCTGTGCGCTGCGTCGCCAGAGCTCGTCGGCATCGCTTAGCTCGCTGAGCTCCTCAGTGGGCGCCGCCAGCAGTCATGCGCTGGACAACTCAAAGCGTCTGAATCACAGTCTGGATGACAATATGTCAAGGCATGCGGCGCGTCGTCAAAGGAGGGTTTCGTCCAAGGCCCATCAGAGTTTGGACGAGTCCAAAATGTTGGCGCTCATCGAGGGTGGTGTAATAGAGAACAGTACTAAGTCGGTGCAGGAGTTGTCGGCCAGTGAGGATACTGATGACGATGTCTTTGATCGAAAGGAACAAATTTCGTCATCTCCGCCACAATTTCATGAAACGAATCCATTTAAGGAGGATGCACAGCAGCCGATCAACAACAATAACAATAATGTAAACGCGCCAGCACGATGTTTTCTGGGCAGCTCATCATCTTCCAACATGGGCGAAGACAAGGAGATCAATGTCGCACAGAATCTGGCCAAGCTGAAGCAGAAGAACATTCTCAATGTAAGCAATATGATTGCCAAGCAATTGGCATCCAATGCCAGCACCGTCAGCGAGAGCGTCAAACGCGTCAGCAGCAGTAGCGGTGGCCATTTCAAGGATCTCAAGGAGAAAATCGCGGCCAGCAGTCGCATGGGCATCTCATTCGATGGTGGCGTCGATGATGCTGAGAACAAGACGCCACCCAAACTGGTGAAGAACTTTAACGAGTTCCTCAACTTTGCAGCGATCAACAAGAATCGCATTTCGGATCGTCTGTCCAATCAGCTGCAGCTCAATGAGAAGCCGCAGCAGCAGCAGCAGTCGCAAGTCATCAAGCCAGTTGTACAGCTGATTAAGAGCGGTCAGCTGGGCAGCTCACTGGATGAATCCGACTCCTCTTCAATACCGGAGACCAGCTGGAGTGCCTCCACAGCGGCCACAGCCATACAACAGGCGCAGGAGCTAAGCAGCTACAGTTTACAATTGGATCTTAATGCAGTGTCGCCAGAACAGCCACAGAAACAAATGGAGCAAGAGCACGAGCAGCAGCTGCCAGATGGTAGCACAACCGATCAGGATCCCGATCAGGAGTACTATCCCATGACAAATGCCATAACGCGCGAGCTGCGACTCGAATCGGAGAATCTGGATAGGCAGGTGTTTGGTCTGCCCTTTACGGAAAAGCAAACAGCTGCAGCCGCCGGTTCTGCTGCACCTGCTACTGCTGCAAACGATGATGATATTGAGTACGAGAAACTCGACAAGGACACGCTAGATATGGTCGATGATCTGAAGGAAAATGAGATCATCTCCTGTCCCGATGTCAGCGAGCTGCACATGCGCCGACGTCAACGAATGGCTGCCACCAAGAGCAATAGCGTGCAACCAGCCGAGATGCAATCGTTGAATCCCTTTATCGATGACACCCGCCTGCTGGATGCTGGAAGCGGCAGCATGCGCAACAGCAGCAGTCTGCCTGAGGTCATAATGCCCATTTCAACGGAACCGAATCGCGTGGAGGCGCCAACGCTCGTGGAAATAGCAACGAATGCTGACGATGAAAGCGCATATTCGCGCTCGCCACAGCGTCTCTCCACGAATCCCTTGAACGGCCTGAACAGCACGGCTGCTGCACTGCCGCCGCCTAGTGAATTTGGTGGCGGCAATGCTTTTCTTATGTTTCTCTGCCTGACGCTGCTGCTGCAGCATCGAAATACCATTATCAAGGCGGCGATGGACTACAACGAGATTGCGATGCACTTTGACAAGATGGTGCGAAAGCACGATGTCACCCGGGTGCTCAACCAGGCCAGGCGCATGTACTTTGAGTATTTGCAGGCGCACCGCAAGCAGCCGCACAACAGCACCGCAGCTGCCACAAGCAGCACAGCAGTTGCCACAAGCAGCACACCAATTGCCACAAGCAGCACTGAAGCCACAAATATAGCATAAGTTGGACTGAGCTAAGCTGACAAGAGAACTGAATTATAAATGGGACAAAACTTGCTTTATGGATTGTTCGAGAGACGACTGCACGGCTGCGATTTACATTCAGTTGACAGCTTTAGTATAAAAAGCTAAACTTCCTTGTTAAAGGTCTTGTGAAGCTAAGTTGAGCTGCAAGTTGCTCAAAATGCACCCAAGAAAATGCATTTTGCCTGCGTGAATTTGTGTAACCAAAGTTTTTAGTTTTTAAAATTTAATTTAAATGGCAACTAACACGAAGACCAAACGGGCCAAATGGAATTAGTGATTATATTTTACCCCGATCTATTCAGTTCAGCATTCTGCAATTTTAAGCGCCTACAATTTTACTCTCAAGAAACCACGTACTTAATAACTGCAACTACGCATAATTGTTACCTTTGCCGTATTATTGTGTCAAAACCTAAATCTTGTTCCAATTCAAGCAGAATTGGACTTTATTTTACTTTAAAGAAATCATTTAACATTTTTTAAATTTATGTCTTTTATGTACTTGTGTAAAGTAAACAGAAATCTAATCTTTAAACGATCGCTAAATAAATGCATTCCAAAACAAAAAAGAAGATTTAAACAATGTTTTCCTTATGATATTCATAATTTTTTTTTAACTGCTGACATAATAATAAATTAGTAAGTGATTTAGGTTGGAGTAACTTTCAATTTGAAAGCATAGATCAACGTAGTTTTTGCTAGTTTTTTTTTAGATCGATCCAATACTCTGAATGAATTCTGAGAGGCCTAAGCAAGTTTGCGCTATGCGCGTTTATTGAAACATTGATACAATTAATACATAAAATACAAAAATATATCTATACAGATGATACTCAGCCAGCGCTTTGGTCTTTTGATGGCCCGTGCGAAGCTCTCGCACGAGTTCCGCCTGCTTCAGAAATGTGGGCGAGATTTTGGGCTTGCAGCTGCAGCCTTGGTTTTTTTACCTCATCCATTTCTGGTTTGTTTACGGCGCCTTTGAGCCGAGAAAGCTGCGGCTTAGCCTTGGTTTAAATGCTACTGCTGCTGCTGCTGCAGTCCTCTTTCAACTTTTGCTTAAGCCTAGGACTGCTGGGCTTCGCTGCTACTTCTGAGTTGCCGCCAGCAGACGATTATACTTGATGCTGCGTGCAATTAAGCACATCAGGCTGACCTTGTGCATCAGCAGCTGGCGATCCTTGATGTCGCGATTCAGGCGACGCTTTAGCGCCAGCTCCAGCTCATGCTGGCCCACGTGGATCTCAAGATCACCGGAGACGTTTGGAGTCGCATCATCTGGATCGCTGCTTAGCTGAGCGTCTGCAAAATGGAAGTGGATGGAGAGAGAAAGTGGGGGAAGTGTCAAGCAGCAACTGTTACAGTCTGGGTCTTATATAAGTGGACGGGCGGGCAGGCAGGTAATGAGATTGAGTTATTTCTACTTAGTTGAATTTATTTTGAAACACTTTGCATTTATTTATTTCATTTGAAGTGCATTTTAAATTTCAATTGTTGAATTAAATACATTTAACATTCACTAAATTGCGCTAAAATTATGCATTTATTTAGTATTTATTACAAATATTTATTTTTATTATTTTTGTTTAATCTCACTTTTGTTGTATTTTGTGAAATGAATACAATTTTACTAAAGTAAATTCGTTTAACATCAGTTCTAATTTGATAGCAAGTTTTTTAATGTTTTATTTTGCTTTGAATTTCTTGTTGAAACACTTGAAATTGCCATAAAGTAAGTACATAAGTGTATCTATCTGTTATGTGTAATAATTTTAAAACCTGCATTTCACTTTTGATTTCTAAGTCTTGTTTTTTGCAGGGACCGTATCGATTCTAATGTAGATTTTTAGTAAATTAGTAAAATGGCAATATAAATAGGAATCTATTGGTATTTACGGTCCCTGGTTATTGGCAAATAATCTAATTCGAAAGACAGTAAAGCAATAAAATAAATGCAACTCGAAATACTACGAACACATATAAAACATATTGATTCTTGTTTTTTGTTTGTTTTTGGTTAAAATGGTGAAGTATATACAACTTTCTGATTCTTACTTAAATCTTATTGATTCGATCTTGTGTCTTTTGCAAATAAAACTTGTGTGTTCTTCTGTATAAGATCATTATAATGTGCAAGCACTTAAACCACATACAGAATTCTTCAAAACTTTTTACCATTTAGTAACACTCAAACATCTATTTAGTGATATTTTGTTTATGCTATTTGCAAAATACATTTAAAAAGTTTGGATAGTTCTATTTATTTTAATTCTGAGCATTTTCAGAGCTGTTTGGTAAAACGATAGTTGAAAATCTCGCTTAAAAAATCATTTTCGTGCATTTGATTTTGAGTAGCTAAAAAATATTTAAGTACAGTGGTACATCACTCAACTTCAAAAATCCAAATAATTATTCTATATATTTTAAGTATATAATTTTTGAGAACCTTTTCAGATTTTTAATATAATTTAATTTCAATTTAAAATACGATAATTACAGTCAGTAAATTATTATGTTTTTTAATAGAAAATTCGACTTCGAGAAATTCTAAGCGACCACTGTATCTAAATATATTTAGATATCTGTAGTTTAGTGTTGAAAAAGACTAGCTTAAGGCGTGTCAGCTGAAGCCTTCTAAGGATTTTTCTACACAGCTGCTTGTATGCTATAATTCAGTCTAATAGACTATAAGACCCACTTACACACAGTTTGCATTACTTACGAATTCCCTAGGAATGTTTTTTCGAATGCCGGCTAAAGTAAAATTTGACAAAAGCAATGCAAACTGTGCGAAGGTAGCTTAACAGTAATATAAAGTTAGGTTAGGTTATATAGCAGATATAGTATTTAGTATGTTTATTTATTTATGTTTCGTATTAGGTGTTCTCAGCTCTTTCAGATATTTAGTTTGTTATTTAAAACACAAAACTACGCAGTCTCATACGGAGCAATTTGGAAGCTTGTTTTTTGTTTTAAATCAGATACCAGAATTTATAGAATTTTCTAACTACCATCAAAGATCAACATCCATATCAATATCAATATTAATATCAACAAACAACAAGTATGCGACGCCACAACCAACTTGATAAGCCCTTTTAGTGCTTCATCCACTACTAATAATTATCCTCAACATTTTCTACTTTCGTTTCCTACCTGCAACTTCCTCAAAGTCGGAGTCGTCCGTATCGCCAGCTGTGACCACAGTGGACGCTGGACGCGTTTTTGTGTGCCGCTTAATGCGCGTGGATTTGGTTTTGCTCAATCGCGACGGAGCATCTAATGGCGGCGGCTGCTGCTCTGCTGCAGTTGCCTTTGCTGCTGCTGCAGGTGCTCCAGAACGTCGACGCTCCGTTATGACCTTCGCTCGTTGTTCGATTGGCTCATTTGCGTAGTTTTGGTTTTCGCCCAATGCAAGCAGTGCGTTGACATCCATTGCGGCAGCGTTGCTGTTGCGCCTCGCCTGGCTGCCCGGGGGCGTGGCCATAGCGGTACGCTTGCTGAGCAGAGCTTCCCTTGTCCGTTCCAGGCTGTTAGCATTCTCGAGCAACCCACGAAAATCGAATGCCTTATTGTTGCTGGCATTGTCCTCGAGGCTGCTTTCGTTGTTGTCCTCGGAACCGGAACCAGAATTGGACAGATTTGTAATGCCTGCATTGCAATCGAATTGTGGCGCTGGCGATTTCTCCTTGGTTGCCGTAAAGAAACTGGAGCGCAGATCGATTTCAGCTGGATTGACCAAATAGTCATCAACACTCGATTCGCTGCTGGAGTCCGCGTTGTTGCTTTCATTGGGCGTTTTGGCGTTTTTTGAGGCCGGTAAACGGCTGGCAGAGCCAGACGCCGATGGTGAGTTCTGTGTGGGCGATGCGGGAAACGTTTTCGGTGGCGGCCGATACTTATTGAACAGCTTGGAGCGCAGCGATTGCCCGCTAGGTTTGTGTTTCTTCACGGAGGCGCCTTTAATTCCACTCGGCTGCTTTTGTTCCCTATACAAAATATTTAATTAGGAATAATTGAGATTTTGAATTGATTCGCTTGCATGCCTCTTTTTTTTAGTAGCACACGCCGGAGAGCGACCACTGGCGCCTGCTGCTACGGCTGCAGCTCCTCCTGGCAGCTCCTCGAATTCGCTGTCATCGTCATCCGAAGATTCGCCACCGCGCACATCTTTACCGGGCTTCCATTCGTCCTCTTCACTGGCCGAAAAGCCCTCGGACAAGGACTCTTCTTCTTCGTCGGACATTTTGTGTGGGTGCTTGTTGCTCTAAGGGTTTGAATCAGGTTGTGTTTCTTATGACTGTGGTAGCAACTTTGGCAATCGCACAGCACACACTGTGGAGGTAGGTCGATACAAACGATTTTATTCGCATTCCGTAGAAAAACCACCCCTATTCAATTGCCCCACCATCTCTTTCGCACCCACGCCTACGCTTTCAAGCCTTTTAAGCTTCGCTATTTCGATGATGACTCTTTTTGGTTTCTAGCAGTAGGTCAGGGCTCAACAGAACCTGAACGAGTTGACCAAGATGCAGACGTTAAGCCCCCTTATCGATGGCAGCCATCACCTGAAAGCAGGAAGGCGGAGCATGCGCAACGGTAACTCTCCACCATTGGTCATATGCCCACTTAAGCGGATTTGAATGTAGAGGCGCCAATGCTCATGGAAATGGCGACGAAACCGCCTACACTTGCTAGCCACAGCCGCCTGGTGAATTCAATGGCGGCACTGCTTCGGAATACCATTATAAAGGAGACGATGGACTTCAACGAGATTGCGGTGCACTTTGACAAGATGGTGCGGAAGCACGATGGCACCCGGGTGCTCAACCAGGCCAGGCGCATGTACTTTGAGTATCTGCAGGCGCACCGGAAGCAGCAGTTCCATAAATTATATATATCATAAATTGGACTGAACCAAGCTGATAAGATAAATGAATAACAAATGGGATACGCATTGTAAAATGTTGACATGAAAAAGATTTGAATTAAATTCCTAAATGCATTTTTAAGTGCATTGCAAATTACGTGACAAATGTATGATAAATTGCGCGAATTCCAATCAAGTTTATTGAAAGATTGATACAATACAATTAACAAATAAAGTACAAAAATAGTTTTCTATGTTTTCAATACAATTTGAACGATAAACAGAAAACAGAAAAACACCAATTTAAAAGTTATATTTTCGCTTAAGGCGCTCGCGTATGAGCAGCCCCTTGATGAGCTTCTTCCAGTTGCCAAACACACGCGTTTCATATTTCTCCTGCTCCTTGCGAGCCTGCTCCTGCTGATCCGCCTCCCAGGCGTCAGTGACCAATTCGCCGAATTCCTCGCACACAATAAAGCCATCGTACATGGGATGACAGGCACCCTGATGGAAATCAAAGCCAATCACTGCATTGGCACAATCGATGTTCAACTTCTTACATACGCGCATCAGGCCAGGCACTGTTCAATTTTTAGGATCAGATGATAAATTATTATATTTGGTAACAGTTCCGAAATGCACACTTACGTCTCAGATGCACAGTTTTCTTGGGTAGCATGCACTCCTTGAATAGCTCCACATTGCCGTACGCGTTGCGCGGCACAATACCGTTCTCGGCTGTGGGCGGCTCATAATCCTGAGTTTGCCAATATCCAAAGATCTCCAACGGCTGATCTTTTATCACTGTGCGTGTGAGCTGTAGAAATTTGAATTCTATTATAATTCTGCCTATAATGCAGCCTTATAGAACTAATGTACTTTATGCAATATCCGAGATCGAGGAGTTAATACAGGTACTGATACTGATTAAAAAATGTTTCAACTTTACACCAAATTTGAAACCCTTCCTATTTATATTTTTGGAAGCAATCACAAAATATATTTACTTACCCTATCCCACTTTGGCCGCGCCTTGACAATTTTGTATGGCTGCTCACCCAGCTTCACTACGCGGGCGCTCTTCAACCAAATATCGCGGGAGTGGAGCAGATGGACACAGTCGCGCGAATAGATTGGTTCACTCCGTATGAAACCCAGAGTGGGAGCATCAGCTGGATAGATACCCTGGAATTTGAGTAGATGGCGTTCAAGCACATATAACGGATGATCCTTGAACTCAGAAATGGATTTGGGCAGCGGTTTGTCCGAGTGTATGCGTCGCAGCTGTTCATTCTCGCATATGTCGCGCTTGGTGCGCCTGCCAAGGTACGGCGCCAGTGTCTCATCCAGCCAGGCCCTGTCGACTCGCGACTTGCGCACAGTAGTCGTCCAGCTTGAGCAGTATCGAGCCGTCACATCCTTCAGACTAAGATCGTCTTGGAAGGCAAAGACATAGGCCAGGCTCGAGGAGGCGTTTCGCTGCAAGTTCAGATTGCTTACAAAACTGGCTCCTTCGAAGGATTAACTGTTAACACCGCTACTTTGAAATCTTACCCTGATTGTATCGACACAGTGGAGCTTGCCCTTGAACAGGTCAATGCAAATCCATTGCTCCTCCACCTCAGACCACACCTCCACCCACATGTCGGATGCGCTTGTCTTGCGTTTCTCCTTGACAGCTTCATCATCTGTGGACAGCACGCGCCGATCCTTGCGCAAATGCTGAACTACTTTTGGCAGAACGGGCGCCTTTTTGATGGGTCTGCTTGGTGTGGAGTCGCCATCATCTGTGCTTGATTTCTGCAGTTTCTCCAGCTTTGGTCGCTTCTTAGGCACTGGTAGACTATCATCGCCGCCATCCAGTTGGGGTATGGCCAGCGCTTTGGCCTTTTGCTGGCGTGTGCGAAGCTCTCGCACAGGCTCCGTTGACGAAATTTGTACCTTACTTGTGGAAGCCGCTGGACTTCCACCCTTGAGAAACACTGGGGAGATGTGCACTTTGGGCGATTTGCTGCGTGATCGAGTGCCACGTTGACTGTTGCCAGGATTGGCATTCTCTGCATCGCTGTTTTCCCGTGTATTCTTCTGCTTGGCTTTGGGCAGCACCAGCTTGGGTATGACGGGTGAGCCTATTTTGGCTGCAGGATATGCAACTTCCGCGCTTCCTGCTGCTCTGGCCTTATCTGAGGATGCATTGCGAGTGCGTCGAGCAACTGGCGTTGGCTCAATTTGCAGTTGCAGCCTTGGTTTTTTTACTTCATCAATTTCTGGTTTGTTTACGGCGCGTTTCAGCCGAGAAAGCTGCGGCTTAGCCTTGGTTTCAATGCTACTGCTGCTGCTGCTCTCCTCTTTCAACTTTTGCTTAAGCCTAGGACTGTTGGGCTTTGCTGCTACTTCTGAGTTGTTCGACAAGCGCTTGCTGGCTGTGCTGGCCTTAGATTCAGTTGCTTTATTGATAGCCTTTGCCTCCGATTTGGAACTTAGCTGGGTTTCCACTTTGGAAACTTCAGTAACTTTCTTGGAGGTGGAACTGGCCTTAGCAGTGCTGATTTTTTTATCTGAGCTGTTGGCAGCTGTTTTTGAGTTGCATTTCGCATCCTTTGCCTGCTTGGACGTGCTAGCTTTGCTCTCCAGCTCCACCACATCTTCCTCACCGTCCTCTTCGCTTTTAGTCGTGTGACTTTTATTTTTCTCATCCTGTTTTAGTTTAATGGGTATTAAGTCGCAAGCCTGTGGCCGCAGCGCCATTGGCTGCAGATTGACAATGAGACGACAGTTCATGCCCATGCCGCGTGCAAGTACAATGAATATGAAGATCATATCCTGTTTGCACCGTGCCTCCTTGCGCTTGATCAGTGCCAGCAGCTCCTCAATAATTGCGGTCTCCGTGCTTGCTGATTTGGGCGCATACAAATCCTGGCTCAACAACTTGATGGCCGTCTTGAACCAGGTGACAAAAGACTGCAGATATTTGAGCTCGACGCCTCGCTCGGTGGGATATGCATTCCGACTGGGTAACATCTTCAGCGTCGCCTGCATCAGCTTCGTGTCCGCCAGCAGACGATTATACTTGATGCTGCGTGCAATTAAGCACATCAGGCTGACCTTGTGCATCAGCAGCTGGCGATCCTTGATGTCGCGATTCAGGCGACGCTTTAGCGCCAGCTCCAGCTCATGCTGCGTCTTCTGCTCCTTGGTTAAGTGGCGCGAGGGCAGGCCCACGTGGATCTCAAGATCACCGGAGACGTTTGGAGTCGCATCATCTGGATCGCTGCTTAGCTGAGCGTCTGCAAAATGGAAGTGGATGGAGAGAGAAAGTGGGGGAAGTGTCAAGCAGCAACTGTTACAGTCTGGGTCTTATATAAGTGGACGGGCGGGCAGGCAGGTAATGAGATTGAGTTATTTCTACTTAGTTGAATTTATTTTGAAACACTTTGCATTTATTTATTTCATTTGAAGTGCATTTTAAATTTCAATTGTTGAATTAAATACATTTAACATTCACTAAATTGCGCTAAAATTATGCATTTATTTAGTATTTATTACAAATATTTATTTTTATTATTTTTGTTTAATCTCACTTTTGTTGTATTTTGTGAAATGAATACAATTTTACTAAAGTAAATTCGTTTAACATCAGTTCTAATTTGATAGCAAGTTTTTTAATGTTTTATTTTGCTTTGAATTTCTTGTTGAAACACTTGAAATTGCCATAAAGTAAGTACATAAGTGTATCTATCTGTTATGTGTAATAATTTTAAAACCTGCATTTCACTTTTGATTTCTAAGTCTTGTTTTTTGCAGGGACCGTATCGATTCTAATGTAGATTTTTAGTAAATTAGTAAAATGGCAATAGAAATAGGAATCTGTTGGTATTTACGGTCCCTGGTTATTGGCAAATAATCTAATTCGAAAGACAGTAAAACAATAAAATAAATGCAACTCGAAATACTACGAACACATATAAAACATATTGATTCTTGTTTTTTGTTTGTTTTGGATTAAAATGGTGAAGTATATACAACTTTCTGATTCTTACTTAAATCTTATTGATTCGATCTTGTGTCTTTTGCAAATAAAACTTGTGTGTTCTTCTGTATAAGATCATTATAATGTGCAAGCACTTAAACCACATACAGAATTCTTCAAAACTTTTTACCATTTAGTAACACTCAAACATCTATTTAGTGATATTTTGTTTATGCTATTTGCAAAATACATTTAAAAAGTTTGGATAGTTCTATTTATTTTAATTTTGAGCATTTTCAGAGCTGTTTGGTTAAAAACGATAGTTGAAAATCTCGCTTAAAAATCATTTTCGGGCATTTGATTTTGAGTAGCTAAAAAATATTTAAATACAGTGGTACATCATTCAAAAATCCAAATAATTATTCTATATATTTTATGTATAGAATTTTTGAGAACCTTTTCAGATTTTTAATATAATTTAATTTCAATTTAAAATACGATAATTACAGTCAGTAAATTATTATGTTTTTTAATAGAAATTTCGACTTCGGGAAATTCTAAGCGACCACTGTATCTAAATATATTTAGATATCTGTAGTTTAGTGTTGAAAAAGACTAGCTTAAGGCGTGTCAGCTGAAGCCTTCTAAGGATTTTTCTACACAGCTGCTTTTATGCTATAATTCAGTCTAATAGACTATAAGACCCACTTACACACAGTTTGCATTACTTACGAATTCCCTAGGAATGTTTTTTCGAATGCCGGCTAAAGTAAAATTTGACAAAAGCAATGCAAACTGTGCGAAGGTAGCTTAACAGTAATATAAAGTTAGGTTAGGTTATATAGCAGATATAGTATTTAGTATGTTTATTTATTTATGTTTCGTATTAGGTGTTCTCAGCTCTTTCAGATATTTAGTTTGTTATTTAAAACACAAAACTACGCAGTCTCATACGGAGCAATTTGGAAGCTTGTTTTTTGTTTTAAATCAGATACCAGAATTTATAGAATTTTCTAACTACCATCAAAGATCAACATCCATATCAATATCAATATTAATATCAACAAACAACAAGTATGCGACGCCACAACCAACTTGATAAGCCCTTTAGTGCTTCATCCACTACTAATAATTATCCTCAACATTTTCTACTTTCGTTTCCTACCTGCAACTTCCTCAAAGTCGGAGTCGTCCGTATCGCCAGCTGTGACCACAGTGGACGCTGGACGCGTTTTTGTGTGCCGCTTAATGCGCGTGGATTTGGTTTTGCTCAATCGCGACGGAGCATCTAATGGCGGCGGCTGCTGCTCTGTTGCAGTTGCCTTTGCTGCTGCTGCAGATGCTCCAGAACGTCGACGCTCCGTTATGACATTCGCTCGTTGTTCGATTGGCTCATTTGCGTAGTTTTGGTTTTCGCCCAATGCAAGCAGTGCGTTGACATCCATTGCGGCAGCGTTGCTGTTGCGCCTCGCCTGGCTGCCCGGGGGCGTGGCCATAGCGGTACGCTTGCTGAGCAGAGCTTCCCTTGTCCGTTCCAGGCTGTTAGCATTCTCGAGCAACCCACGAAAATCGAATGCCTTATTGTTGCTGGCATTGTCCTCGAGGCTGCTTTCGTTGTTGTCCTCGGAACCGGAACCAGAATTGGACAGATTTGTAATGCCTGCATTGCAATCGAATTGTGGCGCTGGCGATTTCTCCTTGGTTGCCGTAAAGAAACTGGAGCGCAGATCGATTTCAGCTGGATTGACCAAATAGTCATCAACACTCGATTCGCTGCTGGAGTCCGCGTTGTTGCTTTCATTGGGCGTTTTGGCGTTTTTTGAGGCCGGTAAACGGCTGGCAGAGCCAGACGCCGATGGTGAGTTCTGTGTGGGCGATGTGGGAAACGTTTTCGGTGGCGGCCGATACTTATTGAACAGCTTGGAGCGCAGCGATTGCCCGCTAGGTTTGCGTTTCTTCACGGAGGCGCCTTTAATTCCACTCGGCTGCTTTTGTTCCCTATACAAAATATTTAATTAGGAATAATTGAGATTTTGAATTGATTCGCTTGCATGCCTCTTTTTTTGTGTAGCACACGCCGGAGAGCGACCACTGGCGCCTGCTGCTACGGCTGCAGCTCCTCCTGGCAGCTCCTCGAATTCGCTGTCATCGTCATCCGAGGATTCGCCACCGCGCACATCTTTACCGGGCTTCCATTCGTCCTCTTCACTGGCCGAAAAGCCCTCGGACAAGGACTCTTCTTCTTCGTCGGACATTTTGTGTGGGTGCTTGTTGCTCACAGGGTCTGACCGATTTACATGTGTGTGTGTGTGTTTGTTCCACTTACAGTTATTGATTTTTATTGCGCACTTTTAGAATCCTCGCGTTTAGTTGCCGTTGCCGAAAGAGACTTCAATTCATCTCCACCTGAATCATATAATACTATATACTTCGCTGATCTTATGAAAATATTCTGCTTGATTTTTATCTAGCATTTTAAACAAATTCACGAAATTGACATTTCCGCGCTTGGCTGGCGTTTGGGCTACGAGTTAGCGATGTTCGATAGGTAGACGTGGTCTGGTGTCATTTATCGATTGATTAGTTGCTAGTTTAAATTTACAATAATTCCTTTTGTTTCGGAGAAAATATTACTTTTAAATTAAGCAAATATCTTTGTGAGTTATTTTTGATAATATTGCATTCATTTTATTTTTTATTAATTGGGCAGCAAGATACAATTTTATCTCATTTGAATCTCGATATATCGATATGCATATATATGGGTGCAAATTTTTTTGAGAGTTTGCAGCCCTTAGTTTTAGACTCATGCTACACAACACTGCTCAATTAATGTTTATTTACCTGCACAACAAAGCATAAAATATGCTGTTTGGTTGAGCTCTATGAACTCAACTGGCGAGGAACTGCACCCAAACTGGGTTGCCTTGACCACACTACATGTGCCACTCAAACGCTTTGTTCCCGCTGGGGCTGCCGCGCAAGAGAAGGGTATAGTAGAGAAGTATACAATCAGAGGCGTTAGTGGTGATGAAATTCAGCATTTCTACAAGGAAATCATCGAGACACCAGAAACAAAGAGAGCAACCCAAACAAACACAAAATGTGCTCGCACATTAGCCCGTGTCAAAGAGACACCACAATTGCCCTTCGATCGAAATAGATTCTTTCGCCTGGCAACAAGCAACAATGTGGAGCAGTTGTCCCAAATGTGCTTCACCGAGGAGCAACAGCTAAATCTCTGTGATGCCTATGGCTGGACTGCGCTAATGATGGCTGCCTGTGAGGGAGCCGAGGATGCTGTGGCCTGGCTGCTGCAGTTGGGCGCAGATGCACACGTTGCAGATAAAAGTGGCAATACGGCCCTCAAACTGGCCAAGAGAAAATGTCACGCAGGCATTGTACAACTTCTGGAAACCAAAGGTGAACGCGTTAGAAGCGAGGATGAGCCAACAGTCTACGCTGTCACACCGTTCTATTGTGAAGTGTGCGAAAGGAATTACAAAGAGTCCACTTGGCGAGCTCACCAGACCTCTACTGTACATCAGTTTAACATGAAATCGCTGCCCATCCACAAACTGCAACGGTTCAACATTCCGTTAAGGAATCGGGGCCTACAGCTTATGGTGAAACAGGGCTGGGACCGGGAACACGGCCTGGGACCTACTCAGAGCGGGCGCCTCTATCCAGTGAAGACTGTGTTGCGCAAGCAGCGCACTGGCCTGGGAATTGAGCAATCTCCCGCCCGAGTAACACACTTCCAAGCGTTCGACACAAATGCCACAAAGCTGAGGCATCGCAATCCCCCCATTGCTCAGCCGCGACGCACACGCAACGACATGAAGCGGGAGAAGCTACGCGAATGGAAACAGGAGCGTCGGTTGCGCAGTGAATTGAGTTGATTATTTATATGCCTATGTGTAAATTAAAAATGATAAAATATGCTTAATTTTGAAGCTAATGATTGATATATTCATATGTCTCTTAATGTACTCAAGAATAGAAAGTAATAAGAATATAATATATAATTAACAAAATTTAAGTTAAATGAAGATATATTTAATTACATCTTAATATAAAATAGTAAAATATCAAAAGGGTATATAAATGTAATATTGCCACAAAATTTGTTGCATGGATTGGATTGTATGTGTAATTTTTGGATAATCGACATTTCTGAGAGTTGCTGTGAATCGAATGTTATTAAAATCAATGGATTTTGCGGTTTCAATTGCGGTAAATGACAAAGCGCAACATCTTTGCGGTTGGCTAGGTCATGGCTGTTAGACGCCCACATATAGCTACCTATGCTTGTGGCACGTGCCACAAGCTGACCTTTTGCGCGGAGCCGAGCTAGATTTGTTTTTGGCACAGTTGGCTCCTTGCTGACTGTTGCTTTATGGAGGAGGGGGTATGGGTGGGTGCGGATTGCGGGGGTACTTGACGGCCGCGAAGTTTAGCCTGGAGTTGCGAAAGCGAAAGCTGTTGCACGGCACGGCGAGCGCGCTCTCCCCGTAAAGCATTCATTGAGGTGACACCGATTTCGCTTTGCGCCTGCGCATTGAACGCTTAACCCCTTAGAACCGACGACGGCAACGACTATTCTGCAGATATGTATATAAGGCAGGTTTCCGAATTGCGACATTCAGTCGCGTTCGGACTGTGACACTGTTAAGACGTTATCGACGCTCCTGCAACAAATCTAATTCTCTTGCTCCTGTCGTCACAAGCTGTGCGTGTTCTAAAGTTGAGCGAGTAATTAAACGAAAGTGGAGTGTCGCGCTGTGCGAAGGTCAGCACACAGTGTGCACACTTGGTAAATAATAAAAATGTAATTATTATTAAATATTCGACGTGAAATAAATGAAATCCAATTGTGAAAAGTCAATTCGCATACAAGGAATTATCGAAACAAATTCAAAAAGCAACGTTTTTCCGAATTTAGTGTGGTAACACTGCTGATACTACCCCAGTTTCGATCAACAGCTGTTCGGTCATGCAAACACAAACCGCAAAGACAAAACGTTAGCGCTCAGAACATTAGCGTCGCATTTGTTGTGCTTATTTGCGTTTGCGGTCCCAACGTGTTCGGTGTGCGTCGCGATAGAAGCGCGACTGAGAAAATAAATAATATTTCAAATCAATTTAAAACTTTTGCCGACGACGTTTTATTTGTGTAGTGCAAAAAAGTAATTGTGTGTGCTCAGCGTGAAATTAAGCAAAGTACGCAATTAAATGCTATTACGCAAAACTTACAAAACATTCTCCTGGAATACAACAACAATATCAAGTCCAAATACTGTGTAACAATTCGAGTGCAATTTGCGATGGAAATGCCATGTGATTTCCGGGCGCCTGCATTGAACTTGACAACAATTGCGAAAACCTAATAATATTTTCAAACACATATGTACATATGTATGTATGTGTGAGCTGTCATTATTGTTGCAATATATATCGATATATATTTTGTTTATGGTTTATTTCTGTAAGCAACTTGCACAGACGCACAGCGTTTTATTTTTGAGTCTGTTTGTTTGGTTTACATTTTTGAATTCTACCTTGCCTTTTTACCTCAGTCAGCGTCGCCACGCCGCGCCTCATCGGTGCGTGCTACGCTCTTTGCTACGCAGCAGCATCAGCAGCAGCAGCAGATCATCAAAGTGTCTGCCTTCCCTGTGGGGGAGCGCACTCATTCGCTTGCTTGCTCTCTCCATGAACTTTACGCGTGCCTTTTTCAATTTGTTTGATCTGTCATTGCATTCGCATCTCCCTTGCTCTCATTCGGTATGCGGCTTAGTCTCTGCCTGCTTACTCACCTATGCGGTACTTTTTCTTTTTTTTCTTTTCGCTCGCAAACCGATTTGATTGTTTAGAAATTAATACAATGCGATCGATGGCCATAGGCGGGGCGGTGCTACGGGCATTGTATACGAAATGTATTTTGCTATTATTATTTAAATACTTTTTATAAAAGTGAATTGTGGCATGTTTAGTGTTTTTTCTTGATCAATTATAAAACTATTGTAGATGGTATTCAAATATTATCGTCAAGTTTGAAAAACATTGAAGGAGACGTCTCCCTCACTATAATTTGTATATATTCTAGATCAGCATCAGTAGACGGGTATCAGTATTTTTTGAAGAAGTTGAACTCAGAACCTTCCTGGTGAAAGTCAGTACATTGTTGGAAGCTGATCGAACCGTATCACATTAATAATTTAATACTGTGCTTAAATAAATATTGCAAATATTAGGATAAATACCAAATGATCTGACTATCTCGTAAATAGAATACATTACGATTTTGTATAAAAAAAGGTTGGTAGTCATATGGCTTCTGGTCTATAAACGTCTTTTTACCATTAGCTTTGAAAGAGCAATAAATTCAGGGCCATGCGAATTCACGGAACGCAGAACAGCACATCAACTAATATCGTAAATCTTTAAAATCGTAAACCAAACAAATAGACAAAAGAAAACAAGATCGAAAAAGTAAATGAAAATTCTACATGTTTATTATTATTATGAAGCAATACACAAAGTACCTACCAAGTCTTATATACCAGTGTACTCAGTACTCGGTAATTGGTACACTGCAAACAACAATAACGAGATAAGCAATAATGGGCACAAAAAAAACTTCCGGGACAATGCCAATAGCAACAAATCTTGTACTTGAAATTGCCTGCCGCTAAAAGTTTTCTTTCATGCTGGAAAATAGACTTTATCTGCAAGACAAATAAATAAAATCAAATGCAGCCAAAGAAGGCTAAATAAATAGTAATTGAATGAAATAGCAATTCATAAAAATCGAAAATTTGAAAACAAAAACAAATTGTGCTGTGCAAATAAGATGTTGAAGTGTTTTTGTTCCATAACGCATCTTCACAAATGTTGTAATAACACGTTAGTTTGTTTATACAATCGATTGAAAATGCGCGAAATTAGCTATAAAAACAATTACAACAATTATAAACAATTGACTCTAATTGAAATAACAAAATCGTTCTGACGGACAGCTAAAAACAACAACAATTGTATTTTCAGCCTTTTCCGGCGTTTCATCCAACTCAAATGCCAGGCGAATCTTAAAGGTGAGTCTCAACAGATTATTAAAGCAAATGCAAATAAAACGAAACGAAAGAATTCAAATTGTCTACCGTGGGGGCATCATTTAAGTAAATACTATAGACATATACATAGATAGAGGAGCGTTTGCTATTGGAGGCTTAATGGCTGTGGCATAAATCTCTCACCAGCTGGAATTTTCTAATAACGCGAAGGTGTTGCACGCGGTGCTCAGCGGCGCATTAAATGAGAAATTTGAAAAACTTTCAACATAAATTACTGCATACAATTAGGCGTACGACATACACATACACACACACACACACACACTCACACACAACACGACAGACGTACTCGGTCATAAGCACTGCTTAAAGCACACGAAAATAAAAGTTTCTCCAGAGTGTCTCTCTACCTTCTCCATCTCCTGCGGTTGGCACATAGTAAATTAACAAAAATTAGAGTTGAAGTTTGTTGCCAACAATTTGGGAAATGATGTTGTGGCTTTTAGTGGATAAATATCTTAAGCTAAAACAACTGAAATTAAGGTTAATAAAGAGAAGCTCACATAGTTTCCAACCGGGTAGTAGTATACCCATTGTCATCAATTAAATGCGAAACTGATGCAGCTAATTTAATTAATTTAACACAAGTTACAATTTATTTTCTTATAGTATGTTATTTGTATGTCATTCGCATTAATAAGATAACTTGGTAAAATTGTTTATTATACTTCTACTTAAACAGTTGAAAGGAAACTTGTTGAATTTTTATAGAATATGAGTGATAGGCAGGATATAGATCAAAATGTAGAGTAAATCTGAAATTTTGATGAAAATTAAGAATGTTCTTTATATATTAGAAAATTACGTTCTCATGCAGTCCGAAGTCCATCTGCTCTTCCACAACTTGGCTGATCAGGCATATATATATAAATGCACTGCATGGTATCGAAGACGCATCCTTTAATTCGTGATAAAAGTGTAATACCCTCGGCAAGTGTCTAAAAACGAAAAGTTTATTATTATTATATTTAATTGTTTCACACTATTTAATATTTTGTGTGGAAAAATACAAAATTATCCAAACCAATTGTTTTCTTTATAAATTTTCCACAACCACATTTAAACAATTTGGTTGTTGTTTACTTTTACTTTTTAAATATACTCGCTTGAAGACTTAAATGATTTCTCAAAAGGCGGGTGAATATTTGAAATAAACCATAAATTAAATATCAATTTCCGTTATTCATCTCTAAATTCTATGCTGGACTAAATAATAACGTGTGGGTGCAAGGGTAAAGTTTGGAAAGCAAAGTGGGAAGCAAACGTGACGCTACATTAAAAATTCATTGGGTTGTTGCTTCAAATTGAGAGGGTAACTCAAGAAAAAAGGCATAAAACAAATCTGTCATTTTTATTTTTGTGTTCAATGAAATGGAAATGATATAACCATTTCCAGGCAATTTCCTCATATATATTTTATATATATATACTGATGTATTTCGGAGGGAGCTTTAGCTTTAGGCCATAGAAGGAGGTTATTTCTATTCCATTTGATAGGTAGATCACACAAATCTAATTTCATATCATTTCAATTAAATAACAGAGCTCTTACAAACGACTCTCGTATGTGATTTGTTGCTGACTGCTTAAGGGCGCTAAAACTTTTCAGACAGCTGTATTCAAGGTCCTTTGAAAATATTTACATAAATGAGCTGTTGTGCTTGTGGGCCTGCTTGTATGTATGTGGGACTTGTTAATGCCCTTATTTGCAAAGTTCTTTGAGGGTCTCCTTATGCATTGTGGGGACAGTTTCTTATTGGTAGTCCCAATCAGGCTTACAATAGCTTTAAATCAAGACCAAAGAACAGTTTAT